TTTACACTTTAGGCATTTCTTTGCCTTCACCTTGTCGGCCACTGTACCGCAGTGGCTGCATATCTTAAGTCTGGATCCAGGCAGCCGTGCAATGTGTGGGTTTTTCCGTCGACAGGGAGGGGAATACGTCTCGCCTTCCTTGGTCTTTCGCGGACGGCCTCTCTTCTTTGGTGTCAAACCTGACTCTTCCTCGCAGCCAGCCTCCCCTTCCTCCTCGTCCTGCGCTTGCTTGATTTTCTTAGGCCTGGAGCGCCCTTGCTTCTTCTTCCGCGGCGTTGTGCTAACTAACTCACTCCTGTCATCCTCTACGGCGTTTGTGTTCTCATCCCTCTCCATGCTTTCGTCATATCTTTTCTCTTTCACACTCATCTCACTATTTTGTAGTGACTCTTCTCCTGGGGCTTCGTCATTAACTGAATCCATTTCCTGACCAAATACTTGCCCGCTGTCATTTCCCACCTCTCGTCTTTCCAGTATTTCTCTCACTATCTTGGTGCAAGCCTGAAACTCTCCACCTGTATTAACACTCGCCTTTGTACATTTCTCACTAGCCTCAGAGTCAAGGGCCTCCACTGGATCAGGTGTACTATCAAAGCTACTATGAGGGTTCGTATTAGTGCCCTGGTCTATACCAAGAGCTGTGGTATCGGGTGAAATATCAACATCCATAGAAGGAGGGGGACTTGAGACCGTTTCCATGTCATGGGCACTATTGACAGTACTGTCAGCACTAGCCATAGCTCGTACCCACCTATTGAATGTATAGGCTGTACACTCGCTCAAACCAGCTTAGATTTGCATGTGCCTATTTTCCAGATTGCATCTTCCTTGCCTGTAAATAGATGTACATATGTGCATCATTATAGCCATACTTAAGACACATTGCATAAAGAGCCCCAAATTTCACAATTTCGTGCTGTGTATTCTGCTTCATACTCTCAGGGCATAACATTACTAAGTAAAATACAGGTATATAGTGTAAAGTGGAATGGCTTTTGATTTTAGGTATCTCATGATTTAAAGGCAATGTGTCGGTACATAAGGGCTACATTTACTATAGACAATAGGGCCCAGTGCAAGAATGCAATTAGGTTTCTGTTTTCATAGCCCTTATATCACATTCCGTTTAACCTACTACTGTGCACTGGCTATCCCGAGTGAGTTCAGCATTAATAGCGAGTGCTCTTAGACAATAGATCTATGCAGAAGCAATATGGTCCTCTATCAGTGACCATTGAACTGCTTGATATGTTTTTGTTGCAGTGCTAATGTGTGTATACACATTGCATCACTATACAGTCAACATGCACAACTATGAATTGGGAGGAAGTGGTTTTTGAAGGCTTCTACACTGATCACCACTTTTCTTTGTATAGCTGTATGATTGAGATAAAGTTATTGGCACGCACAACCAGTCTTTACTGTACTGCATACACTAACATTTATGCACACTAGTGGATCTTCAAACAGAATAGAGACATAAAGAACTATTGAGTTCTGACTTGGCTACAAAGATTACTGCTACCACTATGCAGCATTTCGCTGCTTTGCACTGGGAGGGATGGCATGCACCATTGCCTACATACGTCATATGTTTACAGTGGAATGCAAGGGGAGGTGGTGATCGCATATCATGGACGGAGAAGGAAGAAGACAAGAGGATGTATGCCCCATCCATATGCCTGCAGATCACGTGACCCATATCATTTACACATAGAGAGAATACACACGTGCATTTTACATATATAGGTATAAATGCCATGCTATAGCCTATGATTACCATGATCATACACAGTGCATAAGAGGTGCAAGGCTTCCCCGCACTTCCTCCCATATTATAAGACAGATCTGGCTCAATAAACAGTACCAAAGTGAGCCCACGGTGTACTGATCATAAAATGTATGTAAAGCTGAGTGTACATCAGCTATACAAACATGCACAATTGGATTAACGTAGATTGCCATACATACCTATGTATATGTATACTCACTAGGAATGTCGCATATTATGCCACTATGCATGTAAAAGCATGTGCACTATTGAAAGTTTGGTTTTGTTCATCAAAATGTCAAGAGATGACACATTCATATGAAACAGCTGCTGTTTATATACATGGAGATTCGTGGAAGGTGGCATAGGAACACATGCCTGCTATGCATAGCTCTAGGGCAGGAAGTGCCTGCTTTCACAAAGTGAACAAAATGATAAATATGCATTCTATCTAACACCTTCAGCCTTACACTCTTCGCTGAGCGCCCAACAACTCTAAACTAGTAAATGCCTTCCCGTATCACATTTCATGTACATACTAACTTTGAAATTGAAAACCTGCGACTCTCCCTATAAAAAAACACAGTTAGGTCGCATGAAAAGGGTGTATGCACTACGTACAGTGTTGATTATGTTTTGAACATATACACATTGAAAGAAGTTTCTGTTGCAATGATTAATTTTTCACACTGATCGACTACAAGGGGAGGGTCAGTCCGCGCAGCGGCGCGGATGCCGCACACGTGAGTAAACACGCGCTCATAATACTTGGCTCCGCCCCCTCCTTCCCCGCCGCCATGCCTGATGAAAATAGCTAGCTAGCAACGGGTGGAAATTACACATGTGTATTATAATTGTAGAGCCAAAAACACTGCCACTTTCTAAAACGCTTTTCTGGACTAAAGTATGACTACTTTCATAGCTACTATACAAAGTCACAGAAGGTGCCAAGACTCGCTGGCTGACACCGCAAATATCGTTAACAAACATCATAATAACCACAAACTGGAAAAGCAAATTATTGCTACCATGCTTTTTAGCTACCTAAAGAGTCCCAATAACATATAAGAGTGTCACTGTAGTTTTATCTACGGACTGGACATACCTGCAACTGAAGCTTGGCGAGTAGGCCTGTTGGAGTCAGTCACCGCGCACACAAGTTTACAGTTATCACTGAAGAATCGCGATATCTTCTACCAGGCCTGAGAGATATACGCTACTTGCACTGCCAGTCCACTGCTGGGATAGTATGCTAATATTCTGTAGCAAATTTACCTCGATCTAAGCGGTAGTATGCCGAAAAACAGAGTTCAGAGACACAGCATTAAAATCTGCTTCTGGTCAGCCTACTCAGTGTTCACCCGGCCCGACGGTATTCATGAGGACCAGGCATGACCAATCGTATTCCGTTCTGACCGTGACGACACAACGGGCCGGCTGGCCGCGACTGCGACATCACGTGGTCCTTGTGGGTTGCGCGCGCGCGCGCGTCGGAAGTAGCTTCGACTCATCAAAAAATTATAATTGCACCAAAATCAGAAACAATACACATAAAATTTCATATATAGAGTGCTGTAAAATACGAAGTGCAAATACAGTAAAGTGGTCATCAGACTAAAGACATGACATTCATGATGTGATCATGAAACGAGGGAGGAGGCAGTAAGAGTGTGTGAGTACGGAGTGAGCCTCAGTCATCTGTCATCTGGAGAAACTTGCAGACCGAGTCGCGATGACACTCTCCCTGGATGGTGAACGAGAACTTGTAGTAGCTCCCATCTGCACCGATAGCTGTGAGTGTATGTGTGTGTAAAATGTATAGAGGAAGATCAGTACAAAATGATGATTATAGGATGTGGGGTATATAGGCAGGCAGGGAAGGAGATAAGACACTATCACCAAAGGGTTTTTTTGGGGGGGAAACCACAATTGAGTATCATTCATCCTGATTTGGAAAGAAGCTTCTCCTATGTCTATGCACCATGATTACAGGATACGATTATTAGTTACCCTACTAATCTTTCTCATGACATCACCTTCAAAAGCGGTGACCTTCTCAACAACTCACCTACGACAGACTTCTTGTCGTTACCAAAGGCACAGATGCAGTGCATCTTGTTGGGGACCTGGAACTTTGTGAAGCTCCATCGGGAGCTGAAATACTTGGGCAGCAAGCCTCGAGCTTTGACCAGACTGCAGGTATAAAAGACCATAGAGAGAAACAACGCTGTGAAGTGTATGAACGGAAGAAAAAGAGCAACCGTGTAACCAGGAGTAAAAGCGCAGCAGAACTTGCCTACAGCACAGCTGCATTAGCATCATACATAAGAACGTGTGCTAGAAAGACACATTACCAGCACACCCTGCAACGTACACGAACACTAAAGTTGAATGTGGTCCCACTATCCTGTGCAATGTTACGAGGAGGTAAGAGGTATTATCTATGTGTTAGTGTACCTGGATTGCTTGTTCCTTCCTGGGTCTTCACTGGCAAACACGTGGACTGTCCCGTGGTCACTAGACACGCACAGCAGGGAGGAGTCCTGGTTGAAATTGATGCTGCACCACAGGGAAAAGTTTAATTTATCGGGGACTGGGTTATTACCCTCGGCGCGCATGCGCAGCGAGGGTACTGTAGTTGGGTGTGTGTGTGTGTGTGTCTGTTACTCTACATCTCACTTTTCGAATGTTTGTTCGTCTCACAAACGATATGACCTACTCAACGGGCAATGAAGGTCAGAAATTTTGTGGCGTTTTCTCTGAAAATGCTCCGTTGCAAAGCTAGAGCACTTCCAGCATTGTATGGCTAATGCCGGTAGTCGCCATTTTATCGCTAGCGGATAATGCGCATGCGCTTATATTTAGCACCGACCGGGTCCGCTTGCTCTGTCTATCTTGAAGGCACAAGAAGTCACAACGAATGGCGTGTATCGACTCTCGCGTGCTATCTTACTGTAGCTAGCCCGTGTCAGACACTCTGCGAGCTACTTCGCCGAGGGTTTGCACTTTAGTGCTTTCATTATCACATGAATAAGAAATCAGAACAGTTGTATATACTATAGCTGAATGTGCATATAAATGGTGTGTGTACATTATGGGTCACATGGGCTGTACCATGTTTATCGTTAGTCAAATATGGACAAATTTTATTTGGCATCAACTCGGCATTGACTCATTTCAATATTAGGGATAGTGAAGCCCTCATTGGCATTCTTGTGTAATTCAAGCACTTGCAGAGGGATCTTTGTAATATGATACAACCTCTCTCTACACCGCACTACGTGGCTCCTATAGTTGTGTGCCTAACTCACCAGTAGATGTTAGCATTGGCAGCTCCTCTCCTGAGCTCCAGCCGTAGCTGGAGGCTACCCGTGTCATACACCCTGATCAGGGTCCCCTGTGGGTATCACAGTCAGTTGTGAAACATTCTACGACGTAATTAGAGCTACAAACACTTACGTAACCATCATCATAGTAACATACACAGTAACTCAGGCATTTACACTCTGGGGATGATGGGTTTGAGCATTTCCAGTCGCTTGATAGTTTCAGGAAAGCATCCTTTATACTGGGTAGTGAACTGTGGGAGGATAATTTTGGTTCTTTGCTTGGCCTTGTTAAAAATTTTATTTTGGATGTTTGGGAGCTAAGAAAGGTTAGGTTATACGGCGATAGTCCCAGCGTACAACAGACCCAGTCTCAGATTGCGTCTGGGGAGCTGCAGGGTGTCGCTGGTGGAAGGGGTGAGTTGAGGTGTCTGGGAGGTGAGACAGGCACCTCATGTTCATATGGTGTATGTTCATGCACGTGTTAACGGTTCCGCCCATTGCTCTGGGTGCGTGGTCTATGGCCCTAGTGCTATGGCAGCCACCTGAGTATTATTACTCTAAGAGCCAACCGTGCTAAATAATAGCCAAGCTCAGCTGCAGAATGCTATAGCAATACAATTACTAACTAATGAGGGGCAGAAAATGTGCCAGTATATAAAAGAACAAGAATGTGGTATTCGAATGGAATCCTCTACGTTATGACGTGAGACACTACTTGTAGTAGGTTATGTATGTACAGGTGTGACTTTGTGTCTTTCACAGTCAATAGTGTTTTAACCCAACAGTAATAATGCAGTTTGTCTGAACTATAACTTGAACAAAACACAGACACTCTCTATTGCGTGTGACAATACACACAGTGGCAGTGTTTATTGGCATGCAAACACTGTACCATACATGCCTGCTGAGTATCGTAACTATTTAGGCAAATTAAAGCTTACAATACCCTGGATAAAGGCGTGGCATGACCTATCTTCCATCATGATCATTTGGAGAGAAGGGGCATGGGGGCAAAGAGTGCAACTTGCCCCTCCCGCTCAAATGTGTCAGAAACTACTGAGTCAGTTGTGCTCCCATATTTGACAATGTTAATGTGTGACCTTTTCAGAGGCAGTTGCAAGTCTTGTGCCGTGGAGGTTGAGAGCTATGCAGCTAATGGAGGCCTCGTGGGCAGGTATGACGGATGCAGGTTTCTGAATGTCAGCCAGGTCCACCAGGGCCACAGTCCCTGTCCCCTGGCCCGGGTAGGCCAGTAGGGAGTTGTTGGAGTTGGGACACAGACAGCAGAGACCTGGGTGGTCAGGAGACAGGATGAAGGAATGCGTGAAGCACACAGGACATACAATATAACTCTAGGCTTGAAAAAATCCCTCAAAAAATTAATAGTGTGGACTAAACTCCCAGAGCCACATATATACTTTGAGTTAGAGAAGGATACAGTGGAACTGCTCTAATTTGGAAACCAATGGGAGAGAAGAACGCGTCCTTTTAATCGCATGCCACCGACTGTTCTTGGGAAAGTAAGGTGTCCTTATTACCTCACTCCCATTTCAGAGGGGTCTTTAGAGACGGGTTTCACTGTACATGAACCACTGTGCAAGTTGTAGTGGCTTACGGGCAGCGAATGTGTTTAGTCGAGACACTGAGATATTGTACATACGTACCTCTGGGGTTGTGGGCAGTTTCAATCTGGTGCAGCTCCTGTGGGTTCCTGGTGAAGTTGTAGATGGAGATCTTGCGCTCTAAAGTCACTACAATCCTGCATCACAACAACAGTTTATCCAAACACACTGGTTTATAAAAGCACTTCTCTTTTCCAAGAATATGAGGAAATGGGTTTGTACAGGTATATAGAGGTAGCTACACTTCAGTGCTGCAGTGACCACTAGTAATTCAATGTGCTGGTGTGATTACCTGTCCCTCCTCAGTTTGACAGATTTGACTGGAGACGGAAACTCTAGCTCAGTCACTGCCTCTTTCTTCAAGTCGTCCCACACAATCACTACATACACACAACACACACACACCAGTCACCATATAGTCATGTGGGAACTGAAAACCACGCAGGGTATATAAAAAAGGCAACATTTTTGGACAAGATTCAACCCCCATTAACAGACTACAGCAGCTGTTTCGTATTTCAGTTGGAATTGATCAGTATCACCACATCTTACTAATGTCGACACACACGTGAAGGAAGTGCAGAACAGTCAGCCTGACAGTGCAGGTGGGCCAGCAATATGCTATCACTTGCATTCAGTGTGCACACAAATATCTTTCATGTGCATACACACTAATAAGCTACATGTCCTCTAACAACACTGTGCGCGATTTTGAGGGTGCAAAAGTTGTTTTACAGAGTCATCTTACAGTAGTTACACTCACCTTTGTTGGGAGAGAATTTGGGTCGTGGTCCACCTCCCACCAGAGCTAGATAGTTGCACCGGAACAACATCTCCACATAGCCCAGTCCACCATCAGGGAAATCTGCACAGATCAGCAGATTCAAAAAGCACTAAAGTGCAAACCCTTGGCAAACTGCACATGCGCGATACCGCTAATTGATGGGCTGGGCTATTAAAATGCTGGTAGCTCGTGGAGAGTCTGACACGGGCTAGCTAGCATAGATACCATGCGGGAGTCAATACACGACCTTCGTTGTGACTTCTTGTGCCTTCAAGATACACAGAGAGAGCGAACCCGCTCGAGGTAAGCCTCTTCTAATTAGCATATTGGCTTTTTTGCTCGTGTTTCACGCCATAACTCCCGAACCCAGCAGTTTCAGAGTAAACCATACATACAGTTCGACTTATACCCGACACTGAATACGTGGTATTGTTTGTGGAGCGAATCATGGCTCATGAAGTGAGATGTCAGGGTACCGGACTGACAGACAGACAGACAGACACACATGACAACTAAAGTAACCCTCCCTGCGCATGCGCGCCGGGGGTTAACTAGACGAGGATTGATGTGTTAGGTGCAGTACATCAGTGTAAGTGTTCCGCAATAAACCTTATGTGCTTAGTAACAAACCTCCTTCAAGCTAACTAGACAAAGCCTGGTGAGTGTTTGTGCATTTAGGTGCAGTGAATTCGGTGTGAGTGTGTAGCAATGAACCTTGTCTTTCTTTCTCCTTCAAGGGGTCGCAATTGTAGATACGAAATCCATTCTCCATACCACACGCAAAGCACCCTGTACAAATAGTAAATGTGAAACATTGATCAAAGAAATTACATGTAGGCTTGCTCAAATTGTTCTTCATTTCCTTCTACAGTACTTTTACAGTAAGGTTTGTGTTTTGGCTTCATCCACACACCAAGCAACATTATACCACAAAGTGTACAGATATGCCATGACAAGGGCATGATATGGGATGGATGAATTGTGCACTAATTCCCAAAGGCAGCAATGTTGTTTGAAACAAAATCCAGTACGGAATGTGTAGGCAAAACCTTGTAACACTTGTGTACAGTTACATGTACACAACAAAATGCACATGATCCCTTCCAGTGTTGCATCACGTACTATATTGCTGGCACCAGAACCAATTTAGAGTCTGTTGGGAAGCTGATCTTGAAAGGAACAGATCACTGAAACTAGTTGTCTCACTGACTTGTGAGATTGGGTAACTCCCACAGAAAGCGGGGTGGGTCTTCTCTAGCTAATCAAGAGTGGTAATTAGATTAGCACCCTCTCCCAGAACTCCAGGCAGCCATTATGCAGAGTCACACTCTGATATAAGCCAGACGCTAAAAGCAGGGGGTCGACCAAGCAGGGGGTCGAACAAGCAGGGGAATACACCAAACACCGAGGCACAACATCCCTAGCCTCGACCTACAGCAGCGAACGACTGGTATCTCGTACTAAGCTAGTTTGTGAACCGTGGTAGTCCACCCTAACCTTGATCTTGGTTCCAGCCCACGAACAGCAATCCATTGCTGCCACGCGACGTCGTCTGGACGATGGCGTTGCTCATTCTCTCCTTTCCCACTCTTCTAACGTTGATGACAGCACACTCCGCGATCCGACTCCTCTTTTGCTGGGGGCCGTGCCCCGGATCGAGCAGACACGCCTAGCATCGTTTGCGCATGCGTATGCGGGCTAGAGAACTTTGGATGATGGAGGAAAGTTCTCGGAGTCGTAATCAAGAGAAAGTAAAGCACACTGGAGGATGTCACTGTGGGGCAGTCAGGTTTGAAGTCTGGGCTCCAGCCACTCTGGATGTGATCGAGTGCAAGTTAGTGAGGGAGCTATATACTAACTTATCGATTTAGTCATGCCTCCCAAATATCTTCTGATTTTTCAGCTGCAGTATATGCTACATGAAACGTAATGCTCACTTCATAGTTCCAGAAAAAGATTTCAAGCTTTTGAAGGTCAGCAACCCAGCCGTAATGTGGATTTTATTTGGAGTTATCTTTTTCTCAGGGAGCCGACTCTCTGACCTGCTATATGTACAACACCCACCAAGCCAAGCACACCTTTTGTCGTGTGTGTGGCGTGCAGAGTTTCTACACACCTCGCTCTAACCCAGACGGCAGGGCAGTAACCATTTACTGCATTGATCCAGGCACTGTTGTGGCCACCACTGTCACCGCTTATGACGGAAGGAACTGGGAGGCAGCTATGAGTGCTAACCCTTCAATCAAGGATCGTTCTAAACCATAAATTTACTCAGCGAGTCAGCTACAGAAGAGTTTATGTGTGGTCATCGCGCGCGCCGCTGCCTGCACTATCTATAGATAGATCGAGCGACCATTACGCGCGTAAGTAGAGTCTATTTTTTAGCAAGAGTCGACTATAAAACCTGCGCAAGCGGACCGTTTCCGGTTTGCAGATTCAGCGTGTAGTTCTCTGGCTTCTTCGCTGGGAGTGGCTAGCTGGAATCTCTACGTAGCTAGCACTGTAGCCTGCCGGGAGAGAGAGAGATGGACTACGGGTCGTCTCACGTGTTTGTCTACGCCGACTCGGACGATGAGGTGATCTCTGATGTCGAGTACAACGAGGGAATGTGGCTGAGGTAGCCATCTATCTATGGTGTTGCTTTGTAGCTAGATAGCTGGGAAGATGGGACGAGGGAATCTCTCCAGTGAAGCTCTCTATCACAGCTATATGGATTCTAATTTGTGGTTGTATGCATTGATATGTGTACGGGTAAACAAGCCGAGAGTTGAGCTCTTGGAATGTTTGTTACTGCAGCGATTCTGACGAAGACGCTTCAGCTGCCATCAAACCCAACAAGGTAATATAGTAATTTTATAGTCACACACATGCTTGCTTACCCGTGTTGAATGGCATGGTTACAGTCATGTATGGTGAAGTCCCTGGACATAGTTCTCTGTGCTCATCAGTACCATTGTTTTTTGCTTTTCCTTGCCATAGTGCAGTACATGTGAACCATCACATGTATGTATAACGTGCTACATACATAGAAGAAAACAATCGTTAGTATCAGCCTAACATTCTTTTCTTCTGTGTATGTAGCATGTTTTATTACGTGTGATTGTGTGTATTCCAGAGCCCAGCAGCGACAGGGGGAGGGGCCACCTCGGAGCTCCTGCTGTCTGCCAGCAAGTACCAGCACCTGCCCAAAGATGACGATAGCAGTGACGAGGGAGACACGACAATGAAGGCAGTTGAGGGAGGAGCAGAGGGGAAATCGACCAAAGACAGAAAGTCTCCAAATTACGTCCAGCTTGATTTCGAGGAAGCTGGTGGTGCTGCAACTGGGGAACAGAAACCTAGTGGGGGCAGAGGCAGAGGGAACTATGTCAAGATTGATCACAGCAAGCAGGCTCCGCGTGCTCCCCCTCCCCCTCCCCCTCCCCCTCCCGCACCCCCCTTCGTTACCCCTCAGATTGCAGTCCAGCAGCCTACAATGCAATCCAGACGTATGTTGCGACATATGTACTGTAAGACATACACTGTAATGAGGAACTCTTCTGTGAATACACATGTTGTATTGTATATACAAGCAGACAGTACAGTGCGTAACAGTGAACTTGAGAGGTTTGTTCTACTGTATAATATATTTGCAGCTCCACCCATACCGAAGAAAGGTATCATCAAGAACAGGATTGCCCCAGAGCAGAACAAGATGCGGAGACAGAGGGTCAAATGGCAGACACATACAGGTATATATACCGCCGTCACTTCACAGTTCAATTTTGTCATTCTGTTGTTCTTTGGTGTTTATTCATGCCGTGTGTGTGTATGCATGTACAACGTCTATATTCACAGATTAGGCCAATGTAATGTTTCTGGGTTGGATGTGTATGCAGTATGAACCGTAAGTGAGGCGTGAAAACAGGGCTCGATGTGTGTGTGTGTGTCATGAGCACAATTCAGGGCAACACTGTTTCAAAGAAAGAGAGCTGCCCCGGGGAACCCACGACACTTGTTTTATAGACAGATTGCTCTATATACTGTACAAGGACAGTATTATGTACGTACTCTTTGTTATCTTTACAGCCTTACCACCCCGTCCCCCGGTGGGCGGGGCTCGTCGGCGGAAGGCCAGACGTGCCGACACCAACATCCTGGCCGTCAAGTTCAACACCCTGACAGGGCCGAGTGCCGTGCACACGGGAGATGCCGTGGTGTGCAGTAACCCCTCCTGCACGGCCATCCTCTCTCACCTCTCCAGCCTCTCCCAGCCAGCCTCTGCCAGTCCGGAGGAGGAGGACAGCAGCAGGGTTAGTCTCATAAAACATGTCCAGGTACCATTATTATAGCTCTTGAAATTCTACTGATGTCGCACATAACGTTTAAGCAGTGCATCCCAGTGTAGGGGCATGCAAGAATGAATTATGGAGAACGCAAACAGGAAAAAACGTTCTACGACTGGTGTTTGTATAATACTGGTGGTGTTAGTGCAGTATCAGGAGCATGTTAGCTGCCCAAAGGACGGCGAAGGAGTGTACAACTGTGGTTTATCGAAGCAGGGGTCACCCCACAGTCGTGCCTCCACTCAACTGTTGGGTGTGGTCTGAAGGATAAAGACTCGCACAGTAGATCGTGAGGTCCGTGGTTCGATCCCGGGTCTGGGGAGTTTTTTTTATAATGATGTAATATGAGTGTTGATATAAGAGGAACGTTTTTTCATCACCTCTCGTGGCCAGCCCAAGTGGCTAAGTGGTTAGAGACGTGGGGACTGACACATGTAAGGTGCCCGGTTCGAATTTTTTGAATCGGTACAGTGGGGCGGTTTATGTTTGGATGGCACCACACGTGGTTATGCATGGCTGTGTGCTGCTTCAAGCTCTCGTAATAATATTTATCCTAACGGCATGTATGTTGTAGGTGAAAACAACTTGTTATGCCACTCATATTAATGGGGTTCCTTCCCCATGTCCGGTGTGCTAGCACAGATCCAGGAAGTAAAATTTCCCCTTTCCTAGGGACTAACAATTTATTGTAGGTTATGCTGAGAAAGCCTTCCATGAAATGTTCTTGCAATAGAGCAGTGTATTAGTGGTCCTCAATGCATGTTTTGTCATGTATGTAGACTTCTTGATCACTCCAACCTCCAGGAGACTCCATTAGAGGCTCTAACAGTGTTCTGGCATAGACCACATGTAGAAACAACCCACTCGACTTCTTGCCTTACTTTCTTACAATTTACCAAAGTTCTTTCCCTGAAAAGTTTCCTAACTCTATTGTCATTGACCTCCCTGATGTACATACATTGTTGTTTGCCTTGAGACCTACAGTTGAAGTGTGTGTATGTAACGTGCAGGATTGGGTATGTGAGTTCTGTGGCAGTTCAACTGAGGTGGACATTATGGAGGAAGAGAAGCCGTCCAAGTCGGACACCACGTTTCTCATCACGCCGGCAGCCGTCGAAGGGGGCGGGGCAGTGGGAGGGGCTTTGGGAGTGGACGATGCCATGGTCATATTCTGTATTGACATCTCTGGCAGCATGTGTGTCACCACTGAGGTAATATATATAATCACTAAGTACGGTAGTACTTAGTATATAGGGATATATATATATAATTATACAGGTTTGCCCTGTTATATAGAGGGTTGTAATGGTGTACATATTATAGTACTGGTGCAGTCTCCTGGTGCCCATAGGTCCCGGGGAAGTTTGAGCTGAAGGGTCAAGACCGTGTGCAGAGCCTCAGCTCTCTGAATGTGGACAGACAGACCCAGTTCCTGCCCGGCCAGAGGAGGGACGCCACCTACGTCTCCAGACTACAGGTGTTGTACTGTTGCTCTAGACTAGCCAGAGGGAAGGAATTGGGAGCTAAACTTTCAGCATGAACATGGATCCTATTGTGAAATACAGTTGTATAAGTTCACAACTTAAACTGATTTGGTAGGTGCTACTAGCTAATTCATTGTGTGTCCAATCTAAGCTCTATATTGACCAGCCAAATAGATTTCTACCCCTTGCAGCCATGATATATACTGAACCTGAACAAATGCCGCTGAATGTCAATGATGGTTGTGTGTCGTTGTGTGTCTGTGCAGTCGGTGCAAGCAGCAGTGGATCACCAGATACACTCTCTCACATCCTCACACCCTCACCAGAGAGTGGCCCTCATCACTTTCGGTGACGAGGTCTGTCCCACCTTCTCTCTATCACCTGTGTGCCAACTCTTGTGTTAATTGCACATCGGGCAAGACATGAATAAGAACAACGCACATAATACAGTGTAGGAAGACATTTGCCAACGGTTTTTAAGCTAATCACAAATGGTTACTTCCACAGCCTTTGTCATTATCACTGTTCAAAGATTAGGGATTATGTTGATATGCCGTGCGTCTGTGTTGGCCCATAATGTCCAAAAACTGCACTCTCCACTGTCTAAGTTGAGAGCTCTTTGTGTTGTAAAAGACAACTTTCAATAAAACTTCCCCCCACCACCAGGTGACAGTTCTGGGGGATGGAAGAGGAGAAGTGGTGACTGTGGCCGGAGACAAGCTGTTTGACTCGGAGAATCTGGTCAAGAGTGGTTCCGATGCCCCTCTCCCTCTCCCAGTCAAAGACACACACTCCTCCCTCAGCAGCAAAGTCTTTGCGTGAGTTTCCTCTATTATTATTATTATTATTATGTGTACACTTTTTGGAGCCTGCAAACTCCCCGAGGCCCGAGAGGTAGTGCAGAGACAGAGATCTATTAATAAAGCCTAAAGATTACACTTGTGCGTGTGTGTGGTGCTGCAGGCTTGAGGAGGGAGGACAGACAGCTCTGGGACCAGCTCTTCTACTGGCTGTCACCATGGCCTCCAGAGTCCCAGGGTCAAAGGTGGGTAGCCAACTCTATATATACACGACAGTGAAAGCAGCACAACTACACTTTGTGTGTGCAGGTCATCATATGCACCGACGGACTGGCCAACAAAGGAGTAGGAACTCTGGATGGTATGGTGCATGCAGTCACTTACAATAATACTTAGCATTTTTTGCTGTCCACTTTGCTGAACACACAGGCTCTTCAAACATCATACTTACGTTTTCTCTGTATCATACACCTGTGTACTGTCTGACTGCAGATCTGGCCACAAATGAGCAGCAGGCTGAAGCCCAGACCTTCTATGAAGACCTCGGCACACTGGCCAAGGAGAAGAAGTTAGTTACAACTCTACTACTCTCTCCCAGTTGCATGTGATTCAGGGTGTTTGTAAACCCCTTAAAAGTTGCGAGGTTGCGCATTTTTCAAATACCAACCAAACGTGTGTATGCAGTGACCCTGCTATTGTGTAAGAAACAAGGCAAAGGGGTTATGAATAGCCCTCTCTACACAATTATAAGTCGTGTAAATGATGCCGATGCAGGCGCCTAAAGTAGGAGGGAAGCTTGTCTATTTAGTGCCACCCCTACCCTTTCCTTACTACTCGTCACTAGCTCATCAGTAACTACACAGCCCCTCACATACTGTAGCACCTACAATACCACATCAGTTTACTGTATACCGTAATACCATCTCTGGTATAATTACAACCTGTTCACTCCTGCACGCAGTGTGACGGTGTCTCTGGTGTCCATCAAGGGGACAGACTGTAGGATCGTGGAGCTGGGTCAAGTGGCTGACAAGACTGGAGGACACGTATGAACTCTCACCATCACTATTGCGGCTAGAATATGTACATACAAAGTTGGATGGACATTTGACCTCTTGACCTCTTATGGTGGTGTAAATGTTGTCATCTGTGTGTTTTTGTACAGTAGCTTATGCAAGACTCTCCTCTGCTTCCGACATTTTGTTTCTGACATATTCTTGACTAGGAGCCCTGCCTGCTATAAATGTCTGTGGTGTAGCTCAGTAGGAAGATTTCTTTGCCTAGAGAGCAGAGTGTAGATTTGAGTCCCAACCAGGACAGCGCTATTTCCCTTTGCTTTGCACTTGCCGTGGTTTTACATACCTCACTCATGGTTGCTGCTGTGCATAAGTAAATGTTGTGGTCTGCAGGTGACGATAGTGGATCCTCTCAACATCACGACAGAGTTCAGCACCATACTGGCCAATCCAGTCATAGCCACTGACGTCACTACCAAGATCATCCTCCACAGGGATCTGTGAGCTCTTGCACACCACATTGCACCATTCATGTTGGAGTTTGAAATATTATGGTTTTCACGTCTTCCATAGGGTATATACATCTTGTATTGCTTCTTGAATAAGCCACACGTTGGTAACAGTAGAGCTCCGTGTACAGGCATATAGCTATATACATGATGCATTTACTTGAGCATACACGAGTGCTAAATCTCAACACTTTCATGAGTATTGTTTCTTAAATAAGTTGCTCTTGAGGAGAGAGGAGAACCACATCTTCTACATGCATGAGGATGTCCGTGCTCTACACATTACTGTATGACGAAAGCCAGTTTATATATATACATATATACAAACCTAGATGAAGTACACAATTATATGTGGGCTGTCTTTGTGAAAGTATTGCTAGCATCCTGCTGTGTGGTCTCAGGTATTTCCGGTCGGAGGAGAGGAAGGAGAGTGTCCTGGTTATCCCAGTTGGTAGTGTGACAGCTCAGACTGAGCTCACCTATGAGTATGGCGTCAGGAGGAACGGGAATAAACCACCCGAGAAGACAGAGGAGAAAGGTACATGGGAGGAATGTACAACTTCTGCTGAGGACATTAGCTCTAAAAGGCAGCTAAGGAGAATCTTGCTATATAGGAGAGGAGAGTGTGCATTGGTCACTTAATTAGTCATGTTACGGGCGTGATTTTAGTTGTGGATAGGACGGACATTATGTGTTTTATTGTGACTTTGTAGCAGTCGTCGCCCTCCAGCGAGAAAAATGTGAGGCGTAGGCATACTTCCCATGCGCACGTGCACACTAGCCAGCTTCTCGAGTGTTCTCGAGCGAGTTCTCTGTTCTCGAGGTTACCGCAATCGAACAAGGTCGTGATGGTGGCTCTTTCTCCCTTCAGAGAAACTCGTTTCATAGGTCTCTGGGCCGTTTGACCGGTCGGTGTGCTGCGGCCGCGGTCTCGCTTGCCACAGGGAGCGGAGTGTAGAAGAGATAGCGGAATGAAGGGGTGTGGTTGTCTCAGCCATCCCTCACCTCTACAGTCTCTACGGCACAGTTTTTGTCTACACTATGTGCACGATGCTGATGCTATTTCAATATTAGTCATATTGACAATACGGGAAATAAAAGTATGCGCAGCTCCTTTGATCCGCCCACGCAAGTCACAATAAGCTCGTAATTATATAGCAATCAGCCACTCTCTGAGAGAGAGTGACAAGACGGCAAGATCAGTAAAAACCTTCTCTTGTGGTTTTATTGTTCAGTATTGTTCAGTGTGTACAGCTTTCGGCCAGCGTGAGGCAAATTAAGTTCATACGTAAGGCATAACTAGAGAGCCAGCTAGCATGACATGGGCATATAGGATACCCTGGCCTTGAGAAACAGGGATGATGGGTTAAAGAGAGCTTTTACCACTATGTAGTGCACTAATAGTGATGAGATTGTTTGTTGTTGCTGTTGCAGGTGAGGATGCGTCGAGTGGTGGAGCCAGTGGAGGAGGAGAGGGGGAGAGAGTGGGCGTGGCTCCTCTGATGGTGGAAGGGAGACCACACCTCCCGTTCCAGCTCCAGATAGAGTACACTGCTCAGGACGGATCTCGCTGCATGCGTGTCATCACCCAGGCCAAGCCAATCACCACCAACAGAGAGGTTGCGGAGAAAGGTGTGTACACATGTTATCATGTGTTTGTACTTAAATCTCTAAACACAACTGAGTCCTGTTGGGAACATAACAGTGTAGTGTGTGCTGACAAATTTTGTCATGTGCATACATGAGTTCATGACTGTATACAATAGCACTGGTTAAAGAAGCTTTCGGTTATAATACTCAATGTAATTGAAAATAATACACGGTTTTATCCTGCTTCCCCTTAAGATACTGTACGTAGAGTGTACTGTATTTTGTTTCACTTTTCTGTTATTGTGCTACACGTTATAATTCCTGCTTGCCGAGAGCAATCCTACAGATTAATTAAGAGTACGCAATCCTACGATTTACAAAGAGACTATGTACACGTGCACTGTTAGTATTGTATATAATTATATATACTGCAGATATAGACATGTCTGTGGTGGGTGCCCATGTGGCCCACACCACTGCTACCCTGGCAATGGGTGGAGAGTACTCACAGGCCAGACTCAGTGCCCTCTCCTCCCAGAGGATGCTCCAGAGGACCAGGTATCATGTACCACTACTACATTTAGTTGTACTGCTGTGGAACCCCTCTATAAAAGGAAAAACTCATGAATTAATAAGGACACCGTTTCTTTTCCCAAAAACAGTCCTTGTGTTCTCTTTGCTAATGGTTCCACTGTGTATTTACAGTGTGTGTGTGTGTGTGCCTCTTCTGGTGTTGCCACACACTCTCTGTCATTCTTCTCACATTACACACACTTACAAGTGTGTGTAATGCACTGTACAAGTGGTGGGTGTTGACTGTACTAGTCTACTCTCTCTCTGCATAACACTGAAAGATAAACTTCATTTTACTGATCACTGTTGTGCCTGTCTCTCTCTCTCGCTCTCCAGTCACATATCTCCTATGAACCGACACACGTACAATAACCTGATGGAGGACCTGATCCCTCTAGAGAACAGACTTCGTGACCACCAGCAAGTTAGTCACCACTCACCAGTCCTCTAGTGTCTTACCTCTTGCTAGTCACACCTTTTGGGTACATTCGTATCATGTACGGTACACGAAAATCGTGGTGGTAAGGACGATAAATTTAGTTTGTTAATCAAAATGTGACGAGAAACTAGTCCTCTTGTAGTTAATGCACCCCTTTGGTGTTGCCTCTTTGGCATTGCTAGTTAAGGTTGTAAGGTTGTAAGTAGCATTGCTAGTCCTCTGGCTCAGGTCCTTACTACTACATTGTAAGCGTAACACAAGTTTTCCCTGCCCCCTCACCCACAGAGTGAGGAAGTGAGGTATGGACGGAACTACAGTGACGATGAGGAAGAGGGAGATGTCAGCTATGCCAGACCATCACCACTCATGGCTACTCAGCTGGCTCAGAGGAGCACCAAGAGCGAGCCAAGCAGGAAGTTTTCAGGCCTGTTCAAGAAGGTATATACAGTGTATATATGTCCAATCTCATAGTTTATGTGCTCCTATTTGGAAGCTGTTACGTTATCCTACCCAATGTCTTTAGAAGCTATTGTCCTGGCTGCTAGTCCATTCATGTAGTATAAGGCATCGTGCATTAGGGCACAGTATATATACCTACTCCTTTAATATGGTACTTTTAAACTTCTTTACACAGAAGAAGAAGGCCATATCGCGGAGAAAGGAGGTGACGGATGATCTTGCTACATACTGTTACCAAATGAGGGTGAGTCTTATCAACATTTTTCACTGTAGGCTAACACACACACACACACACCCTCCCCTCCTCCCTCATATCTCTTACAGTCCAGCAAGTCATCTGACTACTCTCACTATGATGAGCCGCCAAATGACAATTCTTCAGATGAAGAGTCGTAATCAGCAGCAGATTTTGGTGAACATGTAAAGACAGTACTATTTTTTACCTGGACCATCGTAGATTGTGGTTTTTTTGTAATGTAAGTTTACATATGTTATAATTGTTTTCTGAACTGGTTCTAAGTTACTAGTATGTGTTTTTTGGGATAATGGAAAAACATGAAACTGAAAATCCAAACACTTTGTTTGTGCAAATACACTCTGTTTTTTGGGAACATAATGTGTCACACACATACTGCACAAATAGAACCCAAGAATGATGCTGTTTCTACTGTTTTGCACTTTGGGAATAGAAAATCGTGTACATGTGCTTTCGCTATCAACAGCAACGTATATAGCCTTACAGAGTTGCAGTATAGCGACAGAAGGCAGCTGTAACCATGACAGGTAGAATCAATCAATTGCTCTTCTTCTCATGGATCTGCTTCCTCCAGAGCTACTGTACTGTTGTTTCAGGTCTAGAGACCAAAAGGTCCTGCTATTGTGTGACGGCAGATGATTCTGAGGACTTCAACTCTGATCTGTGTAGTAGTGAGTGCTCCAGTCACGACCTGTCGTATTTTGCCGACACTGGCTCATTTAATAGCAGTTACAGCACGTTTTATTTTGCTCCGGGAAATCATTCCCTTTTTCATGGTGTCATTGTTAGGCAGAATGCTACTAATGTGACTGACTTGGCCCTGATTGGACTAACAAACACCAGTATTATAGACTTGTGCGGGAATGGTAGGACCCCTGCAGCAGTTGTACAGTGTGAAGGAAACACAGGGGCAGGGTTCCTCTTTGCTAATGTCACCAAACCTCACCATTGCTGGTCTTGAGTTTCGCAACTGTGGCTTCATTGTTAACGTTTCATCATACGGACACTCTGTTGCCATTACACTAGTGTCAGTTTGGAACCTAACAATGTGCAGCGTCAATGTGTTGTCTTCCAATGGTCGGGGGCTGTTAGGTGAGTCAGTGAATGGTATATCTCTTATCAATAACACAGTTTTTGATGGTAGTCACAGTGTTGGCGGTGTATTTGGGGGTGGAAACTTGTATTTGTCTTACAGACCCCTTGCTTCTCAGGACACTTCACTTACCATCTCACATTGTATCATTCGAAATGGTCACAATAATTTCAGCCATGGAGATGGTGGTGGTATGTTTATCTACATTGACACCATGCACCATATCAATATACTGGTAGATACTGTCAATTTCAGTGATAATGTTGGGAAACATGGAGGTAACGTGGCCTTAGCGTACGAGGCTGTACATGGTACATGGCAAAGTACTGTTAAATTCGTAAACTGCTACTTTCTCAATGGAACGGCTGTCGAGTTAGGAGGTGGGATATACATAGCAATGGGTGCTTTTAGTGATAATTCACTAATTCCCCAGTTTTCAATCCCGGCTATTCAACGTTATCCACTAAATTTGTCTCAAAACTATCTTCCGGTCCACATCAGCCATTCACACATTGCCAACAACACTGCTGGTACAGTTGGTGCTGGCGTCTACATACAGTTGCACGAGGATGTTAACTTTCAATCTGTGGCAAAGATAGAGTTTAATTGTTGTGTCCTCGACAATAACAGTAACAGCATCTCAAATCACAGCCGCGGAGGAACTGCTGTCAATATCATCAACTTTCATCTCCCTGGATTTGACAGTCACCAGTCACCTCAATACAATGTATCCTTTGCTCATTGCAACTTTACAAGAAATAGAGGAGCGGCTGCCTTAGCTGACTCGGTCGGTAGTGGTGCACTCTATGTGGAAGAAAATGCACTCTTGGTTCTAAAAGATTGCTTTTTTGAAGACAACAACTGCACAGGAATAACAGCAGTTCACAGCAATATTGTGTTAGAGGGGGAAATTGTGTTGAGAAACAACAGAGCATTCAATGGAGGCGGAATGGTCATGTGTGCCAACTCAATCATATTTCTCAACCTCTCAAGGGAAGTTAATGTCACCATAGAGAATTGCCATGCAGACAACTTTGGTGGAGGTATTTACGCTGAGTTCGAGTGCTCTCAGGCCATTCCACCCTGCTTCTTTCAGACAAGCGATTCAAAAAACATTTCAAAGCAACTCATTTATCTACGAAACAACATGGCCACTAGAGCGGGAACTGCTGTTTATGGCGGTGCGGTTGACTACTGTTATGCTTTTGGGCCCTACAACTCCGACAAATCAATAGTTTTCAATAAGCTGTTCCACATCGATTCCGCCAGTGAGAACATACTGTCAAATGTTTCGTCGAATCCGATCAGTGTTTGCTTTTGCACCAATGGAACCCCAGCCTGTAATGATACTCGGAGGTCATCGGAGGATCAGATTTATCCTGGTGGTCTGCTGTCAGTGACAGTGGTGGTCGTAGGTCAGAGGAATGGGGCAGTACCTGGATTACTAGTAGCTACCTCACTAAATAATACCATCACAATAGAAGGCGAGACCGATCGTGTGATCAATAGTGCAAACTGCACCACATTACATTACACGTTATTATTAACATCTATTCAGCTACCACACAATGTAACGTTTGATTTCAGGATTGGAAACACAGACTTCAGAAATGCAATTATCTGACACAGAGATTGCTCCAGTGTTGACATGTAACAATAGCCAGCTGTCCGTATGGCTTTTCAGTATCCACTAAGTGCAGTAAATGTGACTGCAACAGTTGGGTACAAGGTCTTCATGCAACTTGCAACATTACCACGAATTCAATATACAGGAGTGGAAACTCATCGTGGTGGATAGGACAATTGAAAAATACTTCCAACACAGCCATATATAGCACATTCTGTCCGTTTGACTACTGTGTCAGAGAGGACATCCATATACAGATAAATGAGAGTGATTTTGCAGACAGTCAGTGTGCAAACAACAGACGAGGGATTCTGTGTGGAGGCTGTAGAGGAAACAGGAGCAATGTATTGGGATCTAGCAGCTGCAAGGACTGCCGTAGCCAACACTCCATACTGAAAGTGTTGGGACTCATTCTTCTGTTTGCCCTACTGGGAATTGCCTTTGTGTTCCTGGTAGGCATTCTGGACATGACCGTGTCAGAAGGAACACTCAATGCCATCGTTTTCTACATGAATGTTGTGAGAGTTAACACAAACATCTTTTTTGATTCACCTAAAGGAAAAAGTACAGTCAACAGAATGTTGGAAGTGTTTGTGGCTTGGATGAACTTGGATTTGGGAATTGAGACATGTTTCTATGATGGAATGGGAACAATTGGAAAAGTGGCACTTCAGTTAGTGTTTCCACTCTACCTTTGCCTTCTCAGTTGGTTGATTATTTTTTTAAGTCGAAGATCTTCTATAGTCACAAAATTGTTTGGAAAAAATGTCGTCAAGATATTAGCAACCATCATTTTTCATTTCTATGCCAAAATCCTGAGGACAGTTATTGACATTTTACGGCGCTCAGAGATCATAGTTGAAGGTGAAGACTCATATACACAGCATGTAAGCGGTTATAGGTGGACCGTTGATGGCACTATTCCATACCTTCACAACAGACGTCATACCGTCCTCTTTGCTATTGCTGTGATTGTGGTAGCAGTGACTCTACCATACACACTGGCACTGCTCTTCATCCAGTGTCTAAGGAGGAGGTCCAACATGAAAGTATTGTTGTGGGTGAATAAACTGAAACCATTTTTCGATGCCTACACAGGCCCATACAAAGACAACTACCACTTTTGGACTGGATTCCTCCTGGTTGTACGAATTGTCCTTTTCATTGCTATTGCTGTGAATACAAGCAAAGGGGAAATATTGAATCTTACTTTGATTAACACCACTACAGCCATTTTATTTGTATTGATACGACCAGGGATATACAAAAGCTGGGTACTGAATCTGATTGAAGTATTTACTTATGCCAACCTGGCAGCTTTAACGTCTGGCACTGTTTATGACTCTTGGTTCAAATACAGCAACCAATTCCCTATAACATTGTGTGTAGGATCGATGTTTCTCCTGTTCTGTGGAATTGTGGTGTACCACATTCTCAAGAAGCTGTCGGTGACTCGGAGGTGGGGGTCGATGAAAGTGTGGTTGTTGGACAGGAGGTGGCCGTGGATGAAAAGGAAGCAGATAAGATCTCTCATCCTACCATATGTCGATCCTGACAATGATGAAGACCTGAGCAGCAGTGACAGTGAACTGGATCCAATATTGCAGAATGCCCCACCTGTGGCTCGTTACGACGAGTATCGAGAGCCTCTGATTGGAACTACAATTAGTGATTGATTAGATCTCACTACACTATAGGATAACCCTGCACTTAAATCATGTACCCAGACCTAATACTGCCTGTTAAGAGTGCAACTTAGCGTTTTCTTCATGACTATAAAGGTGTGTCCACATTATCAATTGATCAGCAACATATATGCTGCTAGCACGCGATGGTTCGTGGGATAGTAACACACTGCTCTGTTACTTGTTTTCTGAGGTGGTCACTGTTTTTGTTTTCCATTCTTTTTGGGATAATGAAAAACAAGTCCAAAGAGCTCAGTTTGTAAACAACCTTCTAGTGTGGTAACATAGACACCAATAATGAACTTAATTTGGGAAAACAAAACATTGATACTTTAGAAATAATGCATTTTGATAATTATTTTAAAAGTACTGTCCTTGTTTCATAGTTATCAGAAAATGTTGTAAGGCCCTCACGATGGCCGGCAGACTAAACCTTCGCTTCTTCCTCTTCCTCTCGTGGGTCTGCGTCCTCCAGAGCTACTGTACTGTTGTTTCAGGTCTAGAGACCAACAGGTCCTGTTATTGTGTGACGACTGATGATTCTGAGGACTTCAACTCTGATCTGTGTAGTAGTGAGTGCTCCAGTCACAACCTGTCGTATTTTGCCGACACTGGCTCATTTAATAGCAGTTACAGCACGTTTTATTTTGCTCCGGGAAATCATTCCCTATTTCATGGTGTCATTGTTAGGCAGAATGCTACTAATGTGACTGACTTGACCCTGATTGGACTAACAAACACCAGTATTATAGACTTGTGCAGGAATGGTAGGACCCCTGCAGCAGTTGTACAGTGTGAAGGAAATGCAGGGTTCCTCTTTGCTAATGTCACAAACCTCACCATTGCTGGTCTTGAGTTTCGCAACTGTGGCTTCATTGTTAAAATTTCATCATACAGACACTCTTTTGCTATTGCACTAGTGTCAGTTTGGAACCTAATGATGTGCAATGTACAAATACTGTTTTCCAATGGTTGGGGACTGTTAGGAGAGTCAGTGAGTGGTACATCTTCTATCAATAACAGTGTTTTTTATCATGGTCACAGTGTTGTTAGTCACAGTGACGGGTATATTTATGGCGGTGGAAATTTGGTTCTCTCTTATGATAACAATGCGTGCGTCAACTCTTCATTCACTGTATCACATACTAAAGTCACAAATGGTTGCAATCATCTTACTGACTTCAACCATGCCTATGGCGGTGGTCTCCACATCTACATTAAAACCACAAATGCCATAAAAATATTCATAGATACTGTGTACTTCAGTGGCAATGTTGGGGGACATGGAGGAAATGTGGCTGTGAATTATGCAACCACAAACGGTGCATGGCCAAGTATTGTCACTTTCAGTAATTGCCATTTCCTTTGTGGAACGGCTAAACTGGGGGGTGGGATATTCATAGTGTTGAGTGGTGATCTTAAAAATGCTTCAAATTCATCGTCAGAGTATACCGCCACCATCATCAGTATTAGGGAGTCTGTCATTGCTAACAACAGAGCAAATGAAGTAGGTGCTGGAGTGTACATCCAGTTACACGAGGTTACTGAACTATCATTAGCGGCAGCAGTCGAGTTTAATGAGTGTGTGTTTGACAACAATTCCAACTCCAATGAAACCTTAAGTCGTGGAGGGGCTGCCTTGAACCTCATTAACTTTCGTGTCCCTGGATATGCAACTCATCAGTCCCCTCAATTCAAGATACTCCTAATTTCTTGCAACTTTACCAGAAACTGGGAAGAGGCACACTTGGAGGACTCGGCCGGTAGCGGGACACTATTTGTGGAAGAAAATGCATTCATGTCTTTGAAAGATTGCTTGTTTGAAGACAACAACTGCACAGGGATAAAGGCAGTTCACAGCAATATTATGTTAGAAGGAAACATTGTGTTAAGAAATAACACTGGATACAATGGAGGCGGAATGGTCATGTGTGCCAACTCAATCATATTTCTCAACCTCTCAAGGGAAGTTCAAGTCATCATAGAGAATTGCCATGCACGCAACTTTGGTGGAGGTATTTATGCAGAGTTTGAGTGCTCTCAGGCCAGCCCACCGTGTTTCTTTCAGACAAGCAACTCAACAAACATCTCAGAGCCTCTCATCTACTTACGCAACAATACTGCCTGTAAAGCAGGAACTGCTCTCTATGGAGGTGCAGTTGACTACTGCTATCCCTTTGGGCCATATAATAAGAATAACAAGACGAGATTCTTCAATAAGCTGTTTCACATTGTACCAGCCAGTGTAAACAATTTATCAAATATTACATCGAATCCGATCAATGTTTGCTTTTGTAGAGATGAAATTCCTGCCTGTAATGAATTCTCTAGGAGATCAGAGAAAAATGTGTATCCTGGTGGTCTGCTGTCAGTATCGCTGGTGGTGGTAGGTCAGAGGAATGGAACAGTACCTGGACTAGTAGTAGCTACCTCACTGAATAATAACGACGACGTCCAAATAGAAGACCACTCTGATACTGAAATCAAAAGTGCTATTTGCACCACTATAAAATACCCAATAGTAATGCATAATTCTGAGGATTTACCAAAGGATGTGCAGTTCAGTTTTAGGATTGGAGACACAGACTTTAAAAATGTCGTTATTCATGCTGCAAATTTTCCGGTGTTGAATGTAACAATAGCCAGCTGTCCATATGGTTTCTCAGTATCTAGTAAAAGTGGTAAATGTGACTGTAACCGCTGGGTACAAGGTCTTCGTGCAACTTGCAACATTAGAACAAATTCCATATACAGGAGTAGAAATTCTTTGTGGTGGATAGGACAATTGAAAAATACTTCCAACACATTCGTATATAGCACATTCTGTCCGTTTGACTACTGTGTCAGAGAGGACATCCATATACAGATAAATGAGAGTGATCTTGCAGACAGTCAGTGTGCAAACAACAGACGAGGGATTCTGTGTGGAGGCTGTAAAGGAAACAGGAGCAATGTATTGGGATCTAGCAGCTGCAAGGACTGCCGTAGCCCACACTCCATACTGAAAGTGTTGGGACTCATTCTTCTGTTTGCCCTACTGGGAATTGCCTTTGTGTTCCTGGTAGGCATTCTGGACATGACCGTGTCAGAAGGAACACTCAATGCCATCGTTTTCTACATGAATGTTGTGAGAGTTAACACAAACATCTTTTTTGACGGAAAAAGCACAGTCAGCAGAATGTTGGAAGTGTTTGTGGCTTGGATGAACCTGGATTTGGGAATTGAGACATGTTTCTATGATGGAATGGGAGCCATTGGAAAAACGGCACTTCAGTTTGTGTTTCCACTCTATCTTTGCCTTATGAGTGGACTCATTATCATTTTCAGTCGAAGATCTTCTATCGTCACGAAAATGTTTAGTAAAAATGTTGTCAAAATACTGGCAACAATGATTTTTCATTTGTATGCCAAGACCCTTAGGACAGTTATCGACATTTTACGTCGGTCAGTGGTTATTGAAATCTCACAGGCAGAGAATGGAGATGTAAGCAGCAAAGTCATGTATGTGTGGTCTGTGGATGGTACCACTCCATATCTGAAGAATGAATGGCACACCATCCTCTTTGTCATTGCAGTCGCTGTAATAGCCGTGACTCTACCGTACACACTAGCACTGCTCTTCATCCAGTGTCTAAGGAGGAGGTCCAACATGAAAGTATTGTTGTGGGTGAATAAACTGAAACCATTTTTCGATGCCTACACAGGCCCATACAAGGACAACTACCACTTTTGGACTGGATTCCTCCTGGTTGTACGAATTTCCCTTTTCATTATCATTGCAGTGGACACCCACAGTGGTCAGTTACAGAACATTACTCTTATTATTGCAACTACATCAGTTTTGTTTGTAATCACTCGACCGGGAATTTACAAGAACTGGACATTGAATGTAATTGAAGTGTTCATATACGCCAACCTAACAGTTTTAGCTGTCGGTACAGCATATACTGCCAGGTTTAACTACAGCAAAAACTCCATTATAGTTGTTTGTGTTGGATCAGTGTTTCTCCTGTTCTGTGGAATTGTGGTGTACCACATTCTCAAGAAGCTGTTGGTGACTCGGAGGTGGGGGTTGATGAAAGTGTGGTTGTTGGACAGGAGGTGGCCGTGGATGAAAAAGAAGCAGATAAGATCTCTCATCGTACCATATGTCGATCCTGACAATGATGAAGACCTGAGCAGCAGTGACAGTGAACTGGATCCAATATTGCAGAATGCCCCACCTGTGGCTCGTTATGACGAGTATCGAGAGCCTCTGATTGGAACTGCTAAGACTGAGTGAGATTTCCAAATGTATGTATATCACACACCATATAGAGTCTACCGTGTCCTAGTATACGTACTGTGTGAGTGTGGAAAAAATGAACCTGCGGCGCATGCGCGGCTCTTCGTCAGCGCGTTCTTAGGGGCAGATTTCGTGATGCTGCGTTAAAAAAACTGTCATGGCGAAGACGTTACTTTCTGTCTGCGCCTTATTTCTGCTTGGTGTCAACCGTGTGGGATTATGCTATCCAGAGATCGAAACATTTTGCTACTGCGTTGTCCCAGAGACCGTCATGCCGGACCTCTGCGGTTGTGAGCGTAAGTGTCCCTGTGGTACCCTGGAGTATTTTATAAGCACGGGATCGTTTGGGAAGAATTACACTACATTTTACTTTCTACCTGGAAATTATACCCTCGGAAGAGTCGTAAACGTAACGGAAGGCGTTCACAACCTCACCATGATTGGTAACGGCAGTGCTAAGTCTTACGACTCCAGTCCGGTTACTATTAGCGAACCTGTAGCTAGGATCCTGTGTGATTCCGAAGGAGACTCGGGATTTTACTTTGACTATGTCGACAATCTCACCATCGTCAACCTCGGGTTTTACAGCTGTGGTTTCTCAAAATTTGGGGCAGTTATGTGCCGTTCAGTGACAAACCTATATATGTTTGGGGTGGAAATAAAATATTCGAGAGGATGGGGACTTTCATGTCAAGAAGTCTACGGGACATCTGTCATTAGTCACACTTGTGTCAGCCACAGCAAAAGCCTCTTCAACTACACAGGTGGTAACGTATATCTGGTTTACGATAGCAACGTCGGCAGAAGTGCATCTTTCAACATTACAAATTCGATCTTTTCAGAGGGCTTCAATACTTATAACTTTACAAGGTATCACACAGGTTATGGTGGGGGTGTTCACATATACCTCAAAACCACAGATTTTGTTGAAGTCTACTTTGAAAACGTTTGGTTTGTGAATAACACGGGAGAAGAGGGAGGAAATGTAGCTCTGCTCTATCGGGCAACAAAACCAAATGCATGGTTCGGTTCAGTCACCTTTTTCCCACTGCCATTTCGTGGGGGGTTTAGCTCGTTTCGGAGGTGGTCTCTATATATCAATGGCGGCGGATGGTCATGAAAATGTGAGTTCGAAATGGCGGTGCAGTTGTAAGGGTGGTTGACTCTGAAATACTCGGCAATTCTGCCGATCTTGTTGGGGCCGGGCTTTACCTTCAGTTTCATGAGAATACAGAACTTAACGCAGTTTCGACTGTTACCATTGAGAGCACTGTATTTGACAACAACGTGAACCTTGCTACATTTCATAGCAGAGGCGGATCTGCAGTGAACCTCATCAATTTCCACGTCCCAAGCTACAAGCGTCATCAATTGATTCAGTACGAAGTATCCTTTGTTTGGTGTAATTTTACCAGAAATAGAGGACAGGCAAATGCAGACGACTCAGTCGGCAGTGGAACACTCTATGTTGAACAAAACGCATACATGACATTGAAAGATTGTTTGTTTGAGGACAATGAATGCACAGGAATAACAGCAGTTCACAGTAACATTGTGTTAGAGGGAACCGTTACGTTGAGAAACAACACTGCCTTCAATGGAGGTGGAATGGTATTGTGTGACAATTCGATTCTATTTTTTAACCGATCGACAAAAGTTGAAGTCATCATAGAGAAATGCCATGCAGAAAACTTTGGTGGAGGTATTTATGCAGAGTTCGAGTGCTCTCAGGCCATTCCACCCTGCTTCTTTCAGCTCAATACTCTACAAGGAATCCAAAATCACTTGCTTTTCCTTAAAGACAATACAGCTATAAATGCCGGTACTGCCATATATGGTGGGGCTGTGGACACGTGTTTTCAGTTTCAGTCCAGTAGAAACATCACCAACAAGTCGAAATTCTTTGACAGTCTTTTTAGAATTGAACCAGCACAAGAGAATTTCCTGTCGAATATCTCATCGAATCCGGTAAAGATTTGTTACTGTGATGACTCTGGTGTCCCTCAGTGCAACGAGCGTACGAAGTACTATGGCTCAGTATACCCAGGCAGCACTCTGACAGTGTCTGTTGTGGTAGTTGGCCAAAGAGATGGTCCAGTACCAGGCATAGTTGCAGCCATCTCCCCAGCATGATAGACGAGCAACAGAGTACACATAAAGTCAACAGCAACTGTACACGTCTGGGCTACACAATTCTGGGCGAACCAGGCCAGAACAAATCCTTAAACCTGTCAATTGGTGACACACAAGTTACGTCAGCATTCAATGACCAAAGAGCAAATGTCACGCTGGTTGTTAGCATAAAAAGATGTCCACTTGGGTTTGCGCTCTCTCCAGAAACAAATGCTACTGTGCTCCATGGGTTAATGGGTTGCAAGATGATCGCTCAGAGGCAGTCTGCAATATAACCGGTCAGACTATTCACAGGTACAGCAATTCTACCTGGTGGGTGGGGGATTATGAAGGTGTAAATGGCTCTAGAAGAGCTATTTTTGGGTTTTATTGTCCGTTTGACTACTGTGTCAGAGAGGACATCCATATACAGATAAATGAGGGTGATTTTGCAGACAGTCAGTGTGCAAACAACAGACGAGGGATTCTGTGTGGAGGCTGTAAAGGAAACAGGAGCAATGTATTGGGATCTAGCAGCTGCAAGGACTGCCGTAGCCCACACTCCATACTGAAAGTGTTGGGACTCATTCTTCTGTTTGCCCTACTGGGAATCACCTTTGTGTTCCTGGTAGGGATTCTGGACATGACTGTGTCAGAAGGAACACTCAATGCCATCGTTTTCTACATGAATGTTGTGAGAGTTAACGAGAGCTTTTTTTTCGATTCACCAAAAACTCCAAACAAGGTAAACAGAATGCTGAAAGTGTTTGTGGCTTGGATGAACCTGGATTTGGGAATTGAGACATGTTTCTATGATGGAATGGGAGCCATTGGCAAAATGGCACTTCAGTTTGTGTTTCCACTCTACCTCTGTTTCCTCAGTGGGCTCATTATCTATATTAGTCGAAAATCATCTATGGTTGCAAGTCTTTTTGGAAAAAATGTCGTTAAAATACTGGCAACTGTCATTTTTCATTTGTATGCCAAATTCCTCAGGACAGTTATTGACATTATACGATTGTCGCTGATTCACTTCGAGGAATCTGAACAAGGAAGTGACTCTGGACCATTTACGCTGGGTAATGTTAGATATGTGTGGACTGTTGATGGCACCACTGCTTACTTCAACAAACGGCACACCATCCTCTTTGCTGTTGCTGTGTTTTTCATTGCGGTGACTCTACCATACACACTAGCACTGCTCTTCATCCAGTGTCTAAGGAGGAGGTCCAACATGAGAGTATTGTTGTGGGTGAATAAACTGAAACCATTTTTCGATGCCTACACAGGCCCATACAAGGACAACTACCACTTTTGGACTGGATTCCTCCTGGTTGTACGAATTGTCCTTTTCATTATCATTGCATTGAATACGTCTAAGGGTGAAATACTGAACCTAACGCTCATTTCTGCCACTGCCGCCATTTTGCTAGTGCTCATACAGCCAGGAGTGTACAAGAGCTTGGCATTGAATGTAACTGAAGCATTTACTTATGCTAATCTCTCACTTTTAGCCGTAGGCACAACGTATGACTTGAGGTTCAATTACACCAACAACTGGCCTGTTATTATATGTGTTGGGTCAGTGTTTCTCCTGTTCTGTGGAATTGTGGTGTACCACATTCTCAAGAAGCTGTCGGTGACTCGGAGGTGGGGGTTGATGAAAGTGTGGTTGTTGGACAGGAGGTGGCCGTGGATGAAAAGGAAGCAGATAAGATCTCTCATCCTACCATATGTCGATCCTGACAATGATGAAGACCTGAGCAGCAGTGACAGTGAACTGGATCCAATATTGCAGAATGCCCCACCTGTGGCTCGTTATGACGAGTATCGAGAGCCTCTGATTGAAACTGACAGTATATAGCTATAGAGTTGTCAAGTAGGTTTCCCCCCTAACATTTTGCTTAAGTAACAGAATGAAAGTTTTTCTTACCCATTTTGGAGATTGAAACATAAACAATTCGGTTATGAAAGCATTCATTCTTGGTAGGCGACCACCTGCACGCGCCCACGTGTATTATAGTGCGTAGTACGCCTTCGCAATTCTGTATAATATACGGGTCAGTCGCTTCGTAGCAGAGCAATGAAGCTTCTGACAGTGATGCCTTTCCTTTTATTTGCTGTTTTGATCACCAATATTGGGCTGTGTTGGAGTGAGAGTGACCACTGCTACTGCGTGGAACCTCAACATGCAGCCCGACCTGCGGCGGCGGGACCGATCAACCCGTGTAACAGCAGTTGCCATACTCTACGACACTATGCTAGCCAAAATATCTCTGAGAATAACACTAGCTGGTATTTTCTACCCGGGACCCACTCCCTGGGTGCTGTCTACGGCATTGAAAATCTGCATGACTTGAAATTTATTGCTTACGGTGTTGGTGACGGTGCGAGTGGATGTGGAATTTCTGGACTTGTAACAGCGACAGTGGAGTGTGAAGGTAACCAGGCGGGGTTTTACTTTCGTAACATCGAGAGGCTTGCGATATTCAGTCTTACGTTCAACAACTGTGGGTACTACACCGACAACAAGTTTCGGAATGCTATCGTCTTTCGTTATGTCTGGTATTTGTCTGTCACCGCTGTAAGTATTTGCAACACCAGCGGCGTTGGAATCTATGGCTACGAGATTATAGGAGACTCGATAATATCTCACAGTATTATCAATTCAAGCAGGCGTGCTCTTCCTTATAGCTCCTCAAGTAGTGGAAACCTGCATTTTTACTATGAATACAAAAATGCAAATAAGACTCACCACCATTACTTGACTATTGTGGATTCAGAAATAATTAATGGAGAAAACAGCCCGTTTCGATTGCATGCTGGTGGACTGTTCTTGTATCTAAAAACCACTAATGCAATACATTTCCTGTTGTCGAATGTCGCTATGTCAGGGAACAGTGGATACAATGGTGGCAATGCAGCCTTTGACTACATAGCCATTGGGAGCTCGTGGCTGAGTACCATAACCATCCAAAGCTGCAGGTTTGACAAAGGCTCTGCGGGTGGATTCGGTGCTGGTCTCTATGCAGTTTTCATAGCTCTTTATGACGAAAAATACTGTGTAAAGAATAATATGTCAACAGACACGACAGGGATCATGAATGTTACTGACTCATATTTTGAAGACAACAGCGCAGGAAAAGTTGGAGCCGGATTATACATTCGACTGCACGAGAGCAGCAAATTTGAAGCAGTTGCAAATATCACTTTTACCGACTGCCATTTCCAAAACAATCACATTTTATCCGCAACTGGACGTGGAGGATCAGCTGTCAATATTATCAATTTTAGAATCCCTGACTACATCCCTCACCACTTGCCTCAGTACATCGTTTCTTTTGAAGAGTGCGACTTTACTGGCAATCGTGCAGTTAAAATAAACAAAGTATCTCTGGGGAGTAGTGCCTTGTATGTCGAAGAGAATGCATACATGGTACTTTCAAACTGTGTCTTCCGTGATAACCACAACTGCAGTGGGCTGTCTGCTATTCACAGTAACCTTATGCTCAAGGGAACAATCGAAATCTACAACAACACGGCTGTGAATGGTGGAGGGATTGTGCTGTGTGCCAATTCCATCCTCCACTTTACCCACAATATGACGCTCACTATAAGTGGCAACAACGCAACTAGAGATGGAGGAGGAATATTCAATGAAGACGACTGCCTACAAGCTATACCTCCCTGCTTCTTTCAGGTGGACAACACCACAAATCTCAACAAAACTGTGTTCCTGGTGGACAACACCGCAGACAGAGCGGGCTCTTCTATATTTGGTGGCTCTGTAGACCACTGCTATTACTACGGTTCAGCATACAGTAGTGACGAAAGCAAGACACATGTGTTTAAGGAACTGTTTCAGATCACTAGTTTGAATCCAAACGACACATCAAATATCTCGTCGAATCCAATAAGAGTGTGTTTTTGTGAGGGTGGTTCACACGAGAAATACTACAACTGTACACAGCGCAGTAAACACTACCCGGTATTCTCAGGCGGGGAATTGAAAGTGGTGGTTGTTGTGGTCGGGCAGAGGGATGGGACTGTACCGGGAATAGTTGTGGCTCAGGTACACACAAACGTCTCACTGAGACTCAACGAACAAAATCAGCTCATTAACACAACCGAATGTACCAATTTAACTTACACTGTACAACCCAATGAACCTATTAAAGTGGCGAGTAATACAACTATTGTCCTTACTACTGAGAACAATTTCAGGAACACTTCTAAAGGAGACACGAGCATTTATATTCATGTAACAGTTCATCCGTGTCCTCCCGGGTTTCATACAAACAAGAAAGGCCATGTTTGTGAGTGTGATGGCGAGCTGAAGAATTTACCAGATATTTCGTGCAACATCACAAAAACCGCTATAGAGAGAAAGGAAGACAGTCCGTGGTGGGTTGGATTCGATGACAAAAATCACTTCATTTACTGTCGAAACTGTCCCTTTGATTACTGTATTAAAACTCCAGTAGACGTTAATGTTACAATGCCGAGCACGCAAGATCGGCAGTGCACCAACGGAAGAACTGGAGTTATTTGTGGCACTTGTAAGCCCGGCCTGAGTATCGTACTAGGCTCCACCCACTGCCGTCATTGCAATCATTACAGTGTGTGGCGGACTCTGGGGAAGATACTCCTGTTTGCTATCCAGGGGGTGGCTCTCGTACTCTGCATAGGCATCCTCAACCTGAATGTGACCGAAGGAACCCTCAATGCATTTATATTCTACATGAATGTCGTTAAGTTCAATACCAGCTACTTTGACACTTCTAGATACGGAAGTGCTCTGGCATACTGGATGAGTGTATTAGTGGCGTGGATAAACTTTGACAAAGCGTTTGATGGCTGTTTTTACGATGGAATGACAGCAATTGGGAAAACGTCACTTGCATGTGCTGCCCCACTTTATATGTGGTTTCTTGCCGGGTTGATCATATATCTTGGTCGCAAGTACTCCTGGGTGGTGAAAATATTTGGAACAGACACGGTTAAGGTGCTTGCAACAATAATTCTCTACTCTTATGCTAAACTCATTAGTTCCTTGATTGCAATATTTAGCCCAACGTTGATAAAATCCACTGGCAACAATGGTGACAACTTTGTCTGGACTATTAATGGAAAGGCGTACTTACACGACAAAGAGCACTTAGTTTTGCTTGTGTGTGGCCTTGTTCTGGCAGCAGTGACCTTGCCCTTCACGTTCACACTATTGTTTATCCAATTTCTAAGGAGCAGGTCCAACATGAAGGTGTTGTTTTGGGTGAACAAGCTGAAACCATTTTTCGATGCTTACACCGGCCCGTTTCAAGACAGGTACCACTTTTGGACCGGATTTCTCCTGGTTGTACGAATTGTTCTGTTTGTTTGCATAGCGGCAACTGGTAGTCCAATGGCAAACCTCACTATGATCATCGCCACATCGTCATTCCTTCTATTCTTCATGCAGCAAGGAATCTACAAGAGCAGGGCCTTGAATATCCTTGAAACATTTTCGCTACTGAACCTGATTGTGCTTTCTGCTCTAACGTCTTACTTGAAGTTCAAGAACGAAGTTCCAGTCATGTTTTGTGTTGGATCGATGTTTCTCCTGTTCTGTGGAATTGTGGTGTACCACATTCTCAAGAAGCTGTCGGTGACTCGGAGGTGGGGGTTGATGAAAGTGTGGTTGTTGGACAGGAGGTGGCCGTGGATGAAAAAGAAGCAGATAAGATCTCTCATCCTACCATATGTCGATCCTGACAATTACGAAGACTCGAGCAGCAGTGACAGTGAACTGGATCCAATATTGCAGAATGCCCCACCTGTGGCTCGTTATGACGAGTACCGAGAGCCTCTCATTGGAACAACTAGGACTGAATGACTACCTTATAAAGTGCACATCCTTTGTATAATTATACTGACTTAAAGAAAGTGTGGTTGCTGGCAATGTTGTGTCTTGTATAACTGATCAACTTATAAAAATGAATGAGATGTATGGTGCTTGACCAGAGATGCCTAGAAACGGGTGTGACCAGAAATCATTTGTCGGTTCACATTTGTGCTCTGAATGCAAAAGGGACAAAGAATCTTTGGTCTTGCTCAGTATACGTGATATCCCATCCCTGTACCCACCCATTCTAGTGACTATTGGAAGGGTGTCATTTTATTATGTCAAGCTAGAAGGCCCACAAAATACAATACAATACAAATACAATAGTATGAATGAGGGAGATGCACTACAAGTAAAATAAAAATCCTAAAGAGGCATATAGGATGGTGCCGCTGTTTTGGATCCTCACTGAGTTCTACCTTAACTGTAGGCTGAAAAATTACATTTTGTAAACAATAATTATTGTGTTAGTGAGCTGACACAGTTAGCTGACAGTGTTTAGGTCTGGTATCCGTCAATCCATGAGAGGCTCTCGATACTCATCATAACGAGCCACAGGTGGGGCATTCTGCAATATTGGATCCAATTCAGCCTCACTGCTGCTCGAGTCTTCATCATTGTCAGGATCGACATATGGTAGGATGAGAGATCTTATCTGCTTCCTTTTCATCCACGGCCACCTCCTGTCCAACAACCACACTTTCATCAACCCCCACCTCCGAGTCACCGACAGCTTCTTGAGAATGTGGTACACCACAATTCCACAGAACAGGAGAAACACTGATCCAACACAAAGAATCACGACTGCTGTGTTGTCGTAATTGGCAGTCACAATGTGCGCTGTTGCAATTGAGAAGACAGTCAGGTTGGTGTAAGTGAATAGTTCGATAAACGTGAGAAGACGGTTTTTGTATATTCCAAGTTGAAGGAAAAGTGGTAACACTGCGGTGGTTGCGCCAATCAGTGTGAGATTACTAATCGGATCCCTAATTATTGCCAGCAGAGCAAAAATTACAAGGCGTACGACCAGGAGGAATCCAGTCCAAAAGTGGTAGTTGTCTTTGTATGGGCCTGTGTAGGCATCAAAGAAAGGCTTAAATTTGTTTACCCAAAAGAAAACTTTCATGTTTGACCTCCTCCTCAGACACTGGATGAAGAGAAGCACAAGAGCGTATGGGAAGGTTATTAGCCCCATGATAGCAGCAAGAGCATACAAAATCTTATGCTTTCCACCCAAGTAGTGAATGTTCCCGTCCATACGCCACACCTTAGTATTACCACCAGAGCTGTGATAAAGTGGCGTGTAAAACAACCCATCTAAGATGGTGCGAAGAATTTTTGCGTAAGACAACAGAATAATAGTCGACAATACTTGGACGGAGTTTCTCCCTAGGTACTTTGAAATGAGACGGAACTTTCTGCACGAGATGATGACAGCTCCAGATATGAACCAGAGATAGAGAGGAAACGCGTATTGCAACAATACCTTTCCAATGGCACCCATACCATCATAAAAACAAACCTCGATTCCCAAGTCCAAGTTCATCCACGAAATAAACACCCTTAGGAGATTGACGAGGAATTTGAGAATCACGCTTTTATTTGTCACACTCAGAAAGATGCTTCTGTTCACAGCTACCACATTTGCATAGAAATGAGTGCATTCAGAGTCCCTGCAGCCACAGTCATATCGGTAGTTCCCAAGAGAAAAACTAGCACAATACCCGCCACACCAAACAGTGCCGTTACCAAACCGACCATTTTTAGGTAAGAATACTTTCCCGAGCAATCAGAGCACCTTGAAGAGCCCAGTATAAGGCTGAGGCTCCCATTACAGTGTCCACAGAGAATGCCAGATCTGTTGAATGCACACTGATCATCAGCAGTCCAGGGCTGAGTGATCTGGATTGCATGCGTCACTGTCTTGTTGCAGTAGTCAAAGGGACAGTACTCATAAGATATGATTTCGAAATCCGATCTATTGCCTCGGGGTAAGAACCCAAACCAGCTCTTGCTGTGTCTGTGTTTATAAATGGTTGTGGTACTGATTTCACACTCTATTCTATCAAGTTTTCTGAGAGCTTGGTGGCAGATGCACCTACATTGTGAAGATTTCGGGTCTTGTGCTCCAAAGCCAAGTGGACACGGTTTCAAGGTAACAGAGAGACTTAAGTTGGCGCTGTATTTTTTCCGAGAGTCTCTGCCCTGTACGGAGAAAGCAATGTCAATATCCTCCTTTCCACTGCACATCAGTCCAGGTTCCAAACTGTAGGTAAGCGTGGTACACGTGTTGTTTTTAATCGACTGAACACTCGATTCATTTGACACACTTGTGGCTATCACAACCCCAGGTACTGTTCCGTATCTCTCGCCCACAATAACTAGAGGCACTTTAAATGTGCTCCCTGGATACACATTGGGGTGTCTATCGGTACCGTTGTCATTGCAGTCTTTGGTAAGTCTTTTGTCACGGCTATTTATGCTACAAAAGCATACTCGTTGTGGATCAGAGGTTATGCTTGATGTGTCATTCGTTACCGGAGGAAAGATTGTAAAAATATCAAAGAAAGCCTTTGTGGTATTTGCCGGGTTGTAATGACCAAAGAAATAGCAATAATCTATTGAGCCTCCGTACAGTGCATTGCCTGCCCTCACAGCTGTATTGTTCTCCAAGCTAATGTTCTTGCTGTCGGTTATGTTTTCATACTGAAAGAAACAGGGAGGAATGGCTTGCGCACATTCAGATTCTACATACAGTCCACCTCCGAACGTCAAAGCTGTGTTACGTGAAACATTCAACGAAGCATTAACATCCAGATACAGGATGGAGTTGTCACACAGCATCATTCCTCCACCCTGAATTCCAGTGTTACCGAATATTGTATTTGTTCCTTTCAGTACAAGATTGCTGCGAATAAGAACAACACCAGAGCAGTTGTTGTTAAAAATTCGATTGTCCCTCAGATTTGTCAACGGACTTTGCTCAAAGTACAGAGTCCCACTGCCAATTGGGCTCTCTTTCAAAGGAGTTTCAATTCTATTGTCGTAGAATTGACACGAGACTATTGACACGTTGTATTGTGGCATTTGGTGGTGTTTGTAGCCAGTAAGACCAAAGTTAAGGATATTGATGGCCACACCTCCACCATCACGTGTGAACTGCCGAACGGAATTTTCACGAAACACTGAGTTGTTCACATGAATGTGCGCACCAGCTGATAAATCTAGTTCTTGGTATAGTTTCATATACAGGCCTCCACCTACAACATGACCGGTATTATGTTCAAAAATGGTGTGATTGATAGTAATCACATTGAAAATATTATGATGGGTAGTATTGGTTGTTTTGTTTTGTCTCGCAACCATTGAAAGGTACATGCCTCCGCCAAGTAAAGCTGTGCCGTTTGATATTGTGCAGTTGTCCAGCGTCACTGAGCTTGTCCAGGCTGTCGTAGTGTTCAAATGCACATAGGAAATTGCCAGGTTTCCTCCATTTCGAGCCATGTTACCAGAGAGAGTGACATTTCTGAGAGTTATGCTAATGCTGTTGGTTGTGGCAAGAAGAACACCAAGGCCGCTGGCATAGCCCTCATGCCTGCTACAATAATAATTATTATAACCCCTGTTAAAACCATTCATGAGGAATGAATCGTTTATTTGTAGAGAGTGTTGGTTGAATTCTGTTTCAATTTCGTAAATCATTTGCATATTTCCACCAGAACAGCCAGTGTTATTGTGACTTCCTTCAATGACGATGTTCCGAAAAAAAGAAGTTCCCTTTAGGTCAACAAAATAGAGACCGTATCCTGAAGAATTTTGGACAAGCACATTGTATAGGTAAAGATTAGTGACATACTGCATCAATAGGGCTTGACTATGTTTCTTGTAGTCAAATCCACAGTTATGGAATCCCAGGCTGTCAATCTGAAGGTTTAAAGTGTCTTCAAACCGGAACCCAGAAATCAGACCACTGCACTGGACTATTGGCTGACCACTGTCTGTCCCATTCTCCTGTAGTCCACTCAGTGTCAAGTTGTGGACATAATGAACGTATATTATTCTCACAAGACTATGATTTCCAGGTAAAAACTTGAAAGTGGTGTCATTAGAAAAATCTTCCTGATACTTGGCATAGTCCATGAGAGTGAGACACTCACCAGTTGGACGAGGACAAGGATTGTACTGCACCTCCTCAGTAGTTGGTTTCACACACTTGCACCTTGGTTCTGCCTCACCCATCACTCCATACTGGAGGATGGCAGTCAAGAGAAATAATGTTAAGAGCATTGGTACAGCTACACTTCTAGCTCGATCAGGCTTGTGTAAAGTATTGCTGAATTCACTTTTACTGCGGTTATATGCTGCACATTCACATTCCATAGCTCATTCTGAAAGTTTTCGAAACGCCCTGTGCTGTGCGCAAAACAACCCATTTTATCTATGACTTTTGGGACTAAGGCTAACACATTCTAATGCACAAAGTTTTCCCTTGAGTTGCTTTTGTTTTATGACATTGAAAGTTTGCCTTTGAGCATCATGAAACTATGTGGGTTTTGTGAGTTTATATATAGCCCCCACTGCTGACCTGACATAACCCCCTACCCAAAGGTTGTAATAGTTAGACATACCTCAACACAATATCCCCTCTTCTCCAAATTCTTTACCCGATAGTTGAAAAAAAGTCCCTACTATTCTAGTGCATTAGGCAGTAGTAGATGTCGTTTACTGCACGGTCTTGTGTCAACACTACTTTTTTTGGTGAATCCCCACTAATCTTGTCACACCTCTGACTGTGTGATCCTCCACTAACGGGAAAGAGGGTGGAGTCACACAACTCTGCCGCATGCTATTTCTCCTGTATTAGGGTCTCAGTTTTCTTTTCTACTTGTGACATCCTCTCCGCCCATGAACCTGTGACCTAGTTAATTTAAAGCAATCTGTTAGATTAAAGAATATCATTGCTACAACCAGTTGGGAAAATATTTTGCACAAACAATATTATCAGAGTCATAATGCAAGGAATCACAAATTACTGCTAAAAAGTACCCATAGTAGCTACCACAACCATTATCTAACAGTCAGACTTTAAGAAGAAGCATACACTTAATTTACAGCAGTTCCAATGAGAGGCTCTCGATACTTGTCATAACGAGCCACAGGTGGGACATTCTGCAATATTGGATCCAGTTCACTGTCACTGCTGCTCAGGTCTTCATCATTGTCAGGATCGACATATGGTAGGATGAGAGATCTTATCTGCTTCTTTTTCATCCACGGCCACCTCCTGTCCAACAACCACACTTTCATCAACCCCCACCTTCGAGTCACCGACAGCTTCTTGAGAATGTGGTACACCACAATTCCACAGAACAGGAGAAACACTGATCCAACACAAACAACTATAATGGTGTTGTTGCTGTGGTTTAACCCGGCAGTATATGCTGTACCGACAGCTAAAACTGTTAGGTTGGCGTATATGAACACTTCAATTACATTCAATGTCCAGTTCTTGTAAATTCCCGGTCGAGTGATTACAAACAAAACTGATGTAGTTGCAATAATAAGAGTAATGTTCCGTAACTGACTGTTGTGGGTGTCCACTGCAATGATCATGAAGAGGCCTATTCGTACAACCAGAAGGAATCCAGTCCAAAAGTGGTAGTTGTCCTTGTATGGGCCTGTGTAGGCATCAAAGAACGGTTTCAGTTTATTCACCCAGAACAAAACTTTCATGTTGGACCTCCTCCTTAGACACTGGATGAAGAGCAGCACAAGAGTATATGGCAGAGTTATTAGTCCCACTATGATTGCAATGACAAACAGAATGACGTGACTCTCCCCCAAGTAGTATATGTTACCATCAACAGACCACATCCTGCTGGAGTGTCCAGAGCTGTGATAAAGAGGGGAGTAAAACAATGCACCAATGACAGCACGAAGAAGCTTTGCATACGAGTGCAGAATAACGGTTGCGAGAATTTTCACCGAATTTTTCCCAAACAAGTTTGACATTGTGAACGACTTTCGGCACAGAAAGATGACCGCTCCAGATATGCACCAGAGGTAAAGTGGGAACACAAACTGTAAAAGAGCGTTCTGAAAAGGGTTCATGCCGTCATAGAAACAGGTCTCAATTCCAAAGTCCAGGTTCATCCATGAAATGAAAATGCCGAGCATCTTGAGAAGGAGTGTCTCTGGGACAGTGTCCAAGGACGAAGTGAAGAGAACACTTCTGTTCACAGCCACCACATTGACATAGAATATGACTGCGTTCAGTGTCCCTTCAGCGACTGTTGCATCAGTAATTCCAAAGAAGACAACTAGGAGCAGTCCAGCCACACCAAACAGTGCTACCAAACCGACCATTTTTAGGTAAGAATACTTTCCCGAGCAATCAGAGCACCTTGAAGAGCCCAGCATAAGGCTGAGGCTCCCATTACAGTGTCCACAGAGAATGCCAGATCTGTTGAATGCACACTGATCATCAGCAGTCCAGGGCTGAGTGATCTGGATTGCATGCGTCACTGTCTTGTTGCAGTAGTCAAAGGGACAGTAAGAATAGGACACAATTTCGGAATTTGATACATTGTTGCCTCCGGGTAAAAATCCAAACCAACTCTGACTGTGTTTGTACTTAAAAATTGTTTGCTTCTTTATATCGCACCCAATTTTTTTATCCAGCTTTTGCAGAGCCGAGTCACACACACACCCACTTTTGCAAGAAAGTTTAAAACCAAGTGGACATTTCTTCAGCTTCACATGCAGAGTTATTTTGTGTAAATTGTTATGCTTGCCACCCAAGTCTGAGTCTTGGACTGTAAAGGAGACATCTATTCTGGTGTCTGCACATACAATTTCAGGATGTAACAAGTAAGTGAGCTTTGTGCAGCTACTTTTTGGGATGGGTTGAGTACCATTTTCCTTTACTACATTAGTTGCCACCACGTTCCCAGGCACTGTCCCATTTCTCTGGCCCACAATAACCAGAATTACTTCAAATGCGCTTCCTGGAAAAATGTATGTCTCATTACCATTTTGACTGCAATTTTCACTGAGGTGACCATTGCTCTCGGTGCAAAAGCAAGCCCTTAGTGGATTGGATGTAATGTATGAGGTGTCATTAGGTAGGTGATTGGGAAACTCAAATAGTTCAAAGAAAACCTCAGTGCTGTTTTCTGGGTTATAGCGCCCAAAATAGTAGCAGTAGTCTATTGACCCTCCGTATAGTTCGCTGCCTGATTTATTGGCATGGTTTTGGTCCATAATGATGCTCTTGTTACTTTTGTTGTCAAACTGGTAGAAACACGGAGGAATGGCTTGTGTGCAATCAAATTCGGCATATATCCCACCACCGTAGGTGAGGGCTTTATTGTGGGAAATATTCAACGTAACATTTCCTTGAAGATACAAGATTGAATTATCACACAAAACAATTCCTCCGCCATAATTTCCGTGATTGCCAGACAAAGTATTGTTCCCATTGAAAACAATATTACTTCGAACGAGTGCAATGCCGGTACAGTTATTGCTGGTAATTGTGACGCCTTGGAAATGCGTCAGGGAGTTTTGTTCAATGTATATAATTCCACTGCCAACTGGGTCATTTTGTGATGGGTTTCGAAATACATTTTCATAGAAATAGCATGATATTAGTGACACATTGTACTGCGGCATGCGGTGCGGCCTATAGCTGGCAAGGTTAAAGGTGAGAATACTCAGTGCAACACCTCCGCCATGGGTAAAAAACTGCTGAACGGAATTGTTGTGGAATGTAGAGTTGCTAAATTTGATATTTGCACCGGTAGATAGTTCCACTTCTTCAAATAGTTGAGCATAGAAACCTCCACCTGCTTCTTCAGCAGTGTTTCCCTCAAAGAGAGCATTGTTGATGTATATTACGTCAACAAAACTTAATTGAGACGAGGAATAGTTTGCTTTGACTTGCCTTGCAACCATTGATAGGTATATTCCTCCGCCAAGATAAGCAGAACCATTCAACATTGTGCAGTTATCTATCTTCACCGAGCTTGTCCAATTTTTGCTTTTTTCCATGTGAACATACACTATAGCCAGGTTTCCTCCATTTCTGGCCGTGTTACCAGCCAGAGTCACGTTTCTGAGAGTCATCTCAATACTGTCAGTTGTGTTAAGAAATACACTGAGACCACTCGCATAGCCGTCATGACGAAAATCAGGACTATTACAAGTATGTGAAATGTGGCCACTTGTGAAGAAAGAATTTTCAACGAGCACAGAGTGTGAACTGTTTGGTGTACCGTCATTGTACTGCAGTCTCAAGTTTCCACCAAAGCAGCCACTTTCATTGTGACTTTTGTCAATGAAGGTGTTATGAATCTGCGATATTCCTTTCAGATTTACAATGTAAAGACCAAACCCCGAAGTGTTGTAAATGTGTGTGTGAGATAAGTTCAAGTTAGTTACACGCTGCATAAATATTGCCTGGCTTAGGTTTTGGTTCTGGTAAAATCCACAGTTATGGAATCCCAGGCTGTCAATCTGAAGGTTTAAAGTGTCTTCAAACCGGAACCCAGAAATCAGACCACTGCACTGGACTATTGGCTGACCACTGTCTGTCCCATTCTCCTGTAGTCCACTCAGTGTCAAGTTGTGGACATAATGAACGTATATTATTCTCACAAGACTATGATTTCCAGGTAAAAACTTGAAAGTGGTGTCATTAGAAAAATCTTCCTGATACTTGGCATAGTCCATGAGAGTGAGACACTCACCAGTTGGACGAGGACAAGGATTGTACTGCACCTCCTCAGTAGTTGGTTTCACACACTTGCACCTTGGTTCTGCCTCACCCATCGCTCCATACTGGAGGATGGCAGTCAGGCACAGCAAGAATACAACCATAGCTCTATACTAGTGTCTGCTCAAAACTGCTGCTTGCGGAAAGGCAAAGGCAATGTATATTTGTAGCAGTATTTTGTGTTTTGAAAACGTTTCCAAGTAATGGTTTTCAAATGGTTGCTGTTTTTCAACCACAATGACGAGTTTTGTTTTTTGCACATTTGAACAAGTGAAACTTGCAGGTGGTCAGGGAGCATTGAGCAACATCAACACCATCTGTTTTGATTTCTTGTGAGCTAATGTGGACATGACGATGCAAGCCAGATGCTTGCATGGTAGGGTATTAGAAGGAGAGTCCTTCCTAACCTTATTGCCGTAAACACATGACCATACCCTATGGCTACAAAACATTGCTCATGGTCTCATGGATAACACTACGTCAGTGGGTAATCTCAACACTCTGCAAGTTTTATATACCAAAACACATGTTTGTCAGGATTCTGTTTTTTTACACATAGATACCATGCACTCACACTCAGCAAGTTTTACCAAATACACATGTTTGTCAGGATACTGTTTTTTTACACATAGATAGTGTGAAACAGAAATAAGTCAACACTTCTCTGTTTTTTGTATATGCAGTTAAACGGGGCTATATGGTAGCTAATAGATAAGGAATTTCTGCTATGATGTATATACATTCAATTGGTTGCTAAATGGCGTGCATTAAATAATAGAAACAACTGTGCCAAAATCAAAGCTAAGTATAACTCCAACAAAGTATTAAGATAGTTATCTCGTCTTCCCCACTCATGTGCCTACAAAAAATATTGTTGACACCAGTGGGGAAGAGGCGAGAGAGGAAAGCGAAAAAAAGATAATACTATTCCATACTCCAACAGTTGCAAAAGTATTATTGATAGTTGGGTTGTCATTTTTTGAACTCTTGTGCCTACAGAGAATGCAAAATCTTCGGCTAGGGGGTGGGGGGCGAGGCAAAGGGACAGCGAAGGTGAGGCTAGATTAGGATTGGCAATGTGAGATATGGACGCATAATTGTAGTGAAATAGAGTAGCTTATTATAATTCCACACTCCAACAGTATTACGGATATTAGCTCTTTTTCGAGTTAAGGCCCCTAGAAAAAAATCGTTGACCCATATTAGGGGGTTGGGGGATTTGTTAAGATACAACTAAGTAGATCGAGCCAAGATGAAGGAAGGTGCAGTGAGATAGAATATTCCATACCCCAACTGCAGTCACAGAGTATGGTGTTGGAAGTAAGGTTGGTTCTGATGGATAGACTGGTTTGACACATAGCTCACTACGTCTATCATGCCCAGACTCAAGAGTGTAAACAGCGCTCCGTATTGATGTTGACTTCAAAATGCCGACATGGACTGCACACAATCTTTTATCATCACAATATTATACGCAGTATATATTTAGCTACTAATGTACAGCAGTGAAAGGCCAACACACACTATCCCCTCAAGTCACGGATCAGCATAGTCATAGTCATCGCTTTGCTCCCTGATTGTGGGCAGGGCTCTGCTTGTAGTGCAGTGTATATCGGAGATGGCATATGCCGAGATTAGACTGGGTGTCGTGGAGGCTTTGTTGCTCTGAATCTGTTGTGAGATTTTATTCCTTATGTCTTGCATCGCATATCTGGCGATAAGGTCTGGCTCTGGGTTATTGTAGATGAGATTGTCAAACAGTGGTTGAGAATTGCGCGGACTCTGACACACGACACTGGAGGCAACATCGTCTGTTGTGTCTGTGTACACCTCGTATCTGGTACTGCTACTGGATTCAGGGTTTACATGCACTGCAGGTGTCTCATTGGATTTGGCTTTCCTTCTGGGGGACTTGACAACAATTACCAGAAGGACAATGAGGACACAGATCATGACTAGCATCATCCCCACAACTCCTAGGCTGACGTAGAACATGAGGCCTTGTGCGCTGGCCGCGCTGGCTGAGTTGACAACCACCGGCATGGACGTAGTCTGCAGTGAAGGTGAAGGTAGTGGAGACAAGACACAGGTGTCTGCAGGTTGTGGCAACTCAGGTATAGGTGTACTTTTCAGCAATGGTAAATCCGCTGCAGATTGTGACAACTCAGGTATAGGTGTACTTTTCGGCAATGGTGAATCCGCTGCAGATTGTGACAACTCAGGTATAGGTGTACTTTTCGGCAATGGTGAATCCGCTGCAGATTGTGACAACTCAGGTATAGGTGTACTTTTCGGCAATGGCGAATCTGTCACTGGTGGTATAAGTGTAGGAGTTGTTTGGGTTGGTACACCGGTGGTGGGTGTAACAGTGGCTGTATTAGGAGTTGCAGCCATTGTGACACTACTGCTGCTGCTACTGACGAGTGTGAAAGGTGTTGTCTGTGTCTGGGAGGCCAAAGTGGATGTTGTGGCTGGTCGAAGAGCAACAGTAGTGGTAGTTGCTGCAACATCCAGGGCTGAGAGTGGGAGAGAAAAGTATTATCCCACTGTATGTAAGCTTCGGTAAACAATCGATACTTACCAATGACCACAGAAACAAGAGCCAAAGCAGTCCCAGTCTCCCAGGCACTGATGTCAACAGAAGTATGAAATGGGACCCTCTGATCACTGTTCAGGCGAAGGTAGGCATTGTTTGCGTGCACCCCACCATCATGGTCAACTAGCAGTTTACTGCTGCGTTCTGGTGGCTGGAAGAGACCTAGCACATCCCCTGGTTGGAATGGAAAAGGCTGTACCAGCGGGAACTGGTATATGCCACTTCTGATCTCGGCAATAGGTGCAATGGTGGTCCCGTTCAGTTTCTGATATGTACTAGTGCCCGTAGGTCTCCACAGCTGTAGCTCTGGGTAAAAGTCTTCGCTGGTGGTCTTGTAAGTCCCACCCACAATCCACCTCAACAGCCGTCCACTCTCTGTGAAACTGGTACCGGGATATATGACTTGCTCCTGAGGGGAGAAGGTCTTGGCACCAAAACTTTGTCTATCAGCCGTGAGGAGTGTGTTGATCCTGTCCAGTGTCACAAACCCACAGCCACAGTTAGGTGGATCTGTGCACATTAAATACAATTGTGGATCATGAACTAAAATTCTATAACCAGGATCATGTGCTACTGGACATAATTATACCTGTTTCGACAGCTATCAGTGGATAATCGTCTCCAGTATCCTCGGCGGTGTCTAGGTTAAATACTGCAGACAATGGCCAAGCTTGCTCTTCGTCAACGTCATCCCGGTATGTGGTGATAATCTCCGAGTCCTCGAGGTAGAGGTTGAGTTGAGCAATCTCGCTGTCGGGTTGGAAGTAGCCGACGATGTCTCCCTCTGTGAATGGCAGTGGAGGATTTGCAGTGATCTCGTATACCTCGGAGCTGCTCTGGGCCCTGACTTGGACAGTGGTTGCCCCAGTCCTGGTGTATGTGTCGGTGATACTGCTGGCCCTTGTCCAGACCTGCAGTCGGAGAAAGGCGTCCTCGTCTTCTCCTCCCCACCTGGCCGGGAATATCCACTTGGTGACCCTGCCAGTACAGTTGAAGTTCATCGCAGGGATGAGGACCTGGCGCGAGCTGTGTCGGTGTAGGTCTGCCTGTCCTTCCAGTACTTCAATGTGGAACTCGCTGGGGAATCCACGCGTTCCTTGTGACACTCCAAGCTCTATGTCATGCAGTGAGCATGTACCTGTGAGAATAATAGAGCATCAGCATCCTGCAGTAAAGGCATTATCTACAACATCATTAAGGGGTGCACTAGCAGGAGCCAAAGTACACTGGTAGTCTTCCATACTTCAGCTGCAACAACCTCCAGCCATTTCTCTAGCTTATACTGAGTTGCTTACTGAGTTTTGACTCCACACATGTGCTTGTACGAGCATTTTAATTGGCGTCAGTTGCAGTACATAAGAACGCACCTTGAGGTGTAGTGGCTTGCACAGAGCAGAGCAAGACTAAGAGAGCAAGTGTCAGCAAGTGAGCCATGATCAGCATGTCTTGTAAGTGAGGGTATGAGCATCTTCACTAGCAGTTATACAGGGAGAAAGCATGATAGGTCTCCTTAAACAGGATGTAAATGCATGTGCTGTGCATGTAGAAACACACATTACATTACATTAACAGTATGGAGACAAATGGGTGGGACTCCAGGAAATACAACCCCTAAAAGGTGTTGTTAAAACAGGCCGTCACCTTCTTCAGACCACACAAAACTACTAGCACTAGTGCCTAATACCATAACAGAGCCCATTAGGCCGTGTGTCAGTCATATATAAACATATATAGAAAGGGATTCACTACACGTGGGAGTACGTGGTGCTATTTTGAGTTGTGTTTTGGTTTGTATTGACTGGTTCCGTGCGGTTACGTAACTACCTTTTTCACCATTATGTCACTTCTAACGACTTTCATAATTCAGTGCCATTTTCTGCCCCTGTCCACAAAATTCACTTTGCAGTTGAGTGACTCTAATACGAAGCATTTTGTCCATCGTTCTGCGATATTTATTGTTAATTAGCTCTTGAATAATACAACAAATTTGCATTAGTGACTGACAGGGTATCTAATTCAGGACAAGGTATCTAGGTGTCAGTTGGTTCATTAAAGATGTCCTCGAGGGGATCCTGGGGTAAGCCCCTGGTCTCATCAGCTCGTCTCTTGCCGAGGCTCTTCTTGGCTTCCACTCTGTTCTTATACCGGAATGCTGCCGCCAGTTTTGTAGCTCGCCGGTGCTGTGGACAATAGAGGAACAAAAACAAGCGGTTTCCTATTTTCTGCCCTCTACGAACAGTAGTGAAGAAGACCTTGAAATGGTATACTACAAAATCAGAAGTTAAAAAAAATGGTAATAGGCAATCCAAATATATAAGTAATGCCTCTCTTACATGTGCAACAAATACTGGCATATAGGCAAAAAATGCTTATATACAGGTTGAAAAAATAATTGCACCATTTTATCTTATCCATGGATGAATTAAAAGTTCTAACATTGAAAAAAAGAAAAAATATTATGGGCCAGCCCTCCATCTCTCCAGACAGACGTCTACGGACGCAGTGCTATGCCGAACTGTACGCTGTCCTTTGAGATGTATGTGGGTCAGTGGTAGATTCATGGGTAAGGGGAGGAACCAGAGCTGTTCCCAGCCAATGCTCTGGACCACCTGTCAGTTTCAGTGCGGGTCCGGGATTCGAACCGGGCACCTTATGTGACAGTCCCCACGTCTCTAACCACTTAGCCACTTGGGCTGGCCACGAGAACTGATGAAAAAAGGCTCTTCTTGTACATATCAAATCTCATATTACATTATTATAAAAAAAACCGACCCAGACCCGGGATCGAACCACTGACCTCACGATCAAGAGTGATGGGTCCTTATCCACCAGACCACACCCAATACTTCAGCTAGGAAGGTTTAATACTGCACTTTAATTAACTCTCTGTTTAAGATTGTGTGTTTCTGGTGAAGATGTATTCACACACACAGACATGCACCCACACATACTAGGCACCCACACACCACACATACTAGAAACCACAATAACCCCGGTACACATGCACATATGCAATTCTTGTTATGAGCATAATTATACACAGTCTATATGACCACGGTAACCTGACAAATGAAAATGGCAGAATCAGTTCAAAAATTATAGGGGGTATATACACTCACTACACACGTACAGCATTGGGTGTGATGTAGTGAGGGTTCTCGTACAGAGTTGGACCTCCAAAACTACCAGAAAAGACCTTTATCAGCTGCAACACAAACCTTGGACCTGCAACAGTTCAGTTTACTTGGCATCACGTGCTATGTGTGATGAAAACTTCATCAGATAATACGCAGATGAAGGTGCTGATATACAGGGCCATTCCTGAACAATGTATGTACATATATGAGGTAATGAGAATGCACTTTCCCCAAACACATGCCTGTGGTATGATTTTTTAGCAAGCCACGAGTGAATTGCAGGCAGATCAACCCCCATTCAGAATACTGTATCCAACCCCCCTCCTGGACGGTCATAATGGTCATAAGTTCTTCATGTTGCTACCATTGGACTGTAGGTAGCACTCACCGATCTCTGTCAAGCCTCCCCCACCATCAACAATCTGTAGAACAGAATAATACCTAACACTCATCAGTACTAGTATAGATGCCATAATACACTATTGTGAAAACCACACTGGTATACACTAACATGAAACTTACAATGTGGTCAAACAGCTAAACAGCAAAGTACAAGCATAACAACACAATGTGTTGACAGTAACACGATATTTTGCCGGGAAAAGAATCCCGGCCATGCAGGTATAGCGGGAAACGATGAGGTTAGCTAGGAGCTCTACCTGGTAGTTTCTGAACCAGATCCGGTCGTCCAGGACAGAGAAATGGAGGGTGTGGTCGACAAACGGCTTGCTCTTGGGATGGTGGTAGGGAGTGCTGAAGACCTGAGTGAAGAGCTCTCTCAGGAGCTCCAGTTGCGGGGATCCACCAAAACTCTGTGCAAACATCAGCACTATACATGCAACCATACCGATAATGTAAAACCCTCTTTCTACCACACTACCCAACAATACTGCTGTACCAACGTTATGGTACTATTACTAGAACAAGTAGAAGTGAGTGCAGTATAATATATTAGCTACCTTGGTTTTACACTGCTGTTATGCTGTCTAAAATTTTGTACACCTGGTGGGCTCACTTCACTCGCCAATAAGCTTGTGTTGTTGTGCTAGCTTGGGGAGAGTGCTTCATCATACGTGTAGGTGTGTATAAGGTTCATCTCACAGGGTCAAAGGAAAGAAGAGGCCGGGAGCCCTTGAGACAGTTACCAGTCAACTTGAGTTCATTCATTGTGTGTACTGCAGTGGGACGGTAATGGAGAGAATCCACACATGACACGTGTAGAGTTTGGTACAAGGCGCGCCTCTACCCACCTCTAAATAGCTAGCTAGCAATAGGTATGCATAATGAGTGACAGACACGGATTCTATTTGGAGAGGAATGTAAGGCTGTTGAGTATATACATACCAGTAAAGATGCACGTGTGAGAACAAAACAGCCCCCAGAGAGTAACTGCTTACTCCCTGTGGACCTTAGTAATCCACAACAAGGGTACATGTATTCATCATTTAGTGACTGAGATGTATATACCATTTTCAACGAGGAACTTGGCTGAAGGTCCATCTGGCACATTTGATACCCTGTAGAATATGCAAACAGATTTTTCAACCCTCAGTATGCCCAGCGAGGGCTACCAGTAGTGTTGTCTGTCTGTTAGCACCGCTATGATGGCACCACACGCTACGAAGTGGCCAAAGAACGAGGTTTTAATATCTAGTTTCAGTGCATTATGTTAGAACGGTTAGAATTTGTTGCCACTTTTAGTGCTTTTCATTAGGTTGATATGCAAAATTAATGCTACATTCAGTGGAATGAAATTACTCACCACATGTAGATATCCTTCTTTTTCCTCATCTCAAAGAACATACACTTTGTACAGTTCTTCATTTCACAGATCTGCAAGGACAGAAATGCATGCCTCAAAACCCTCCGGCTTTCGCAAACGTTCTGCCCACCACCTCACCAGAAAACCAAAAGACAACAACCGGCCTGGGCTATAAAATTAATATTTTGTAGAGGTAACATCTGGCTGTACTTACCCTAATTGGGATCTATGGGTCATTGCACCTCAATTAACGTAATGTGCAAGCCGTTGATAACTGACCCATATCTCCTTGTAAGCCACACCCACCCATCCCATGCCCTCAAATGTGATAGGTTGTATAGTATTGTGATTGCTGCAATTTTTGTCTGCATAAGCAACTGTTGTGTAGGTTGAATAAAGCAATGTGATGCCTTTGATTAGCCCACAGGAGGTAGCAGAGGAGGAAGTATGCCTCCTCCCACCCAAATTCCTCCTTTTGAACTCACCTCGTTAATGACTGGGAGCTTGTCTTTGCGGTCCAGCTTGGAATCTGAAAGGAAGAGAAGAAAACGCCCTTCGAATGTATGTGATTTTCCAAGGGCTCTATTTAGTCACGAATCATCTTTAATTGGGGAATGAAGCGACGCCACATTGTCGTTCATTCAGCATTATATGATCTGTTTGCACAGTCAATGTATGTTATGCATATACCAGTCTTACAATTAGCACTCGCGTTCGCTCGCCAAAAATGCTTTGCCTTATAACGGTAAGCATAGACCTACATAGCATGGTCCATTGAGCAAACCATATCACTTATTACAGGGTTAACCCGTGCTAAAAAGGCAACAGAGCACTATTAGTGGAATTGTCTTTAGGTGAGTGTAGTGAGCATGTGCCGCATGTGTCCCCTAGAGGTTGTCAGTCAAAGAGCTGATGTACATGCACCTGTTGTGTTTGATTTCTGAAACCCAATAAACCGGCACATAAAGGCATCCAAGGTCTTCCGACGATGTCATCCAATTACCTAGAGCAAACGTGACCAGTCAGACATGCAAGATATGCAGTGATGAGCACATGCCAGGCGGGTTTCACTGTTCTGGTCATTAGACTCATAGATTAAAGCTAACCCGTGTAAGGTTCTCTGCCGCTTTTGTGTGCAAATAAACTACTCTTTGTGCTTTTCAAGAGGTTGAGAGGGAAAGTTTATATACCTGTCCTTGAATGTGGCATGAGTATCTTGAGGTCATTTACCAGGTGTCTGCATCTGTGGGGAGAAACAGATGATAGGCATGCTTCTCTCCCTCCAATGGAAGGTAATGGACACACCCTCCACCCTCCATGTCACACTAATTGCACTAATTGGAAGGTGCACACTTTTCCACAAGTCTAGTTTTTACCACACGATGTGTAGATATCAGTCGTACGAATACCTGTATGTGATGCCTCTAGCACAGAACACCAGAACCCTCTGTTTATTCTTCCACTTCTTTGGCTACAAGACACAGTTGTCAACACAAATAATATACACTAGCTACAGAGCTAGTAGGCACAAGGTGTTACACATTACCTTTTTGAGTGGAGCTGGTTCTCCTGAATTTGCTATAGATCTACTCAATGTCTCCGCCGTTTCAACTTCGTCCCTCTTTCTTTTTCTCTTCTTTCTGCCCGTTTCACCAGAGATGGTAGCGCTAGCCTGACCTGTGGCCTCGTCAACCACGTGGGCCGCGTCCATAGCTCCCATAAAAAAATGTAGAATTACACTACGACGTGGAATTGTACACTAGCCACACCCATCCGTAGCAGAAAATAATAAGCAAGTCCCGAACTCCGCTGCTGCCAATGTTTTCGTAGATCAAAGACGGGACCTGGAGCTGCTAGCTGCAGCTGTAGCAGTAGTACACACAGTGCGAGTACCGTGGGCTCCAGTTCTCCATGGCAAGAAGGCGGGCACCCACGCCCGGTGCTCAGTGGGGTGTGCTGGTGGAGGTGCAGCCGCAGGAGAAGATTGCCGTCTATAACAGGCAGAAGACGGCCGAAGAGGAGCACTTGACGATGGCCAAAGTGAGTTTGCTGCAGCGCTACTGAATAATGACTGATCGCAAGGCTTGTAGTCACGGCTGGGCGAGGCTTGTAGCTGTACATGATCCACCTGGGTGTAGGGTGAGGTGGATCAGACCGTAGGTTCTCCTGACTCCAGTGTGTTCAGCCACAGATGGCAGCTACCCCATGGTGTAAGAGTACGGTATGCACGAGATGATGCATACAACATAGACCTAGATCTCTTCAGATTCCAGCCTGTGTGTGTTAGCTATGTGTTCAAAAGAAGAGACATTTAGCTAGTACACTTTGTGTTTTTGGTTATGGAAAGAAAACATTTGTATTTGGGAGAAGCAGACAGACATTCATAAATGTGTCCCCATCTCATGTAGATAGATACACAGTGAGCCACTCAAGTGTGCAAGGCAATACGTAGGATGCCACACCTACATGCACTACTCTCCCAATGAGACAATACACCGAGTCTTAGAAGCAGTAGTTCCATGTGCTCCCACATTCTATCCCTCTACCACTACTCTGGGGTTTGTCTTTCCCTGCACTGTGTACCTGCACTGTGTACTTGTACGAAGGAAGATCCTTTGTGCCAGAAGCATTTGTGTAATATTTGGTATCATGGCACTGTGATCTGTATATTATACAGATCACAGTGTTTACAGGGTTATGTGGTCTGCTGTTCGGCCACAGAATCAACAGTACGTAATCTTGAGCATGCTAGTGCATTATGATCCATTTCTTTAGGGGATTGAAGTTTTTGTAGGTATTGGATGCTGTAGTCACAGGTTCACCTTGCTGTGTGCACAGATTGTGTACAATGTCTGTTTGCGTGCATAAAACTGCAAATCCCCACCCTAGCAGTTGAGCCCACTAGTGGAGGCAGTAGAAATGTGCTGTTTGAATATTTTGGATGGCTTTAGGGAGTTCTCTTGCTCCATTTATAGGGAGTATGGTATGTTGGTTATTTTGATGTGATCCTCCATGTGAAACGTGTGGAAACCTCTCTGTATGTATGTATATTCAACTAATTTGTGGATTCAGAAGCACATCAATTTGCATGCATCTCAGCCACACGTTGTCATAAACCGAAGACCGTGTGTGTGCCTATAGCTGGCTGTAACTGGTACTGCAGAAGAGAATGCCACGTTGACGAGTTGTTTGTGTGCAGAGAGTCTTTTCTCATTGCAGTAGTGTTGTGTCACAAAGGATCCGTGTTTATTTGTTCCTACAGCCGATCTCGTAGTTGGTGCGGGTTATAGATGCGTGTAATGAGAGCACTTCCTGGTCACTTGAGAACCGTTTCTTGTGATTATGATTAATTTCCTGCACTTCGTTTGTGTTGGAGTGAACCTCAGCATTATCCTGCAACTGACATGTAGTTGGTGGATGCGACTATACATTTGTGCATGAAACCACGACACACTAACTTCCAGACGCCGTCCATGTGTCACCACGACCTAGACGTTTGTGACACTGGACCTACCTATTGATTCCATTCAAACTGTCTCCCAAATACGGTATCGCACACTCTGTATAATATGTTGCTGGCCATTGGTAATGGGAATTGACCCACTGTGCATGTGTACTTAATGATGTAGCCTCTTTCCACTGTAAAGTACATTACAAGCAGTGTCTGCACATTACGTCCTTTGGGTCTTGTTGTAACCGTTCTTCAGTGTATTTGTTGATCACCTCGAGGACTAGAGAACACTTTCCTTGTGAAGATGGGCATGAAAAAGTGGGTATTCAATGTGTACCATGGAGTGTAATTGCAATTCTTTGCGTGTATGGCATCTGGAGGAATGTCATCAGGGGAGGGCTGTGGTGTCTGTGACAAATGTCGCGAGAGGTGTTGGACAGCATTGCAGTCATTCTATCACTGGCACTCTGGCTCCCTGAGAACCACCCTGTTCTCTCTAATGGACCCTTGGGGGTTGTACACAATGTGGCCTGTGTGTGTTGTGTTAATCCACATGTGTATAATATTATGATGGGTGTGTGCAGGCACGTCGATGTTCAACTGTTGGACGTAATACAACTGTTAACACTTAACTAGCCGCGGACACACAAATGTGTCCATTGTCTCCGTAAGCAGCAAGATTTTTATGGAGGTTTTATACTAGGCGTTAATACTTTGTACATAGTTTCTGCTTGTATGTTAGTGGCGTGGAAAGGGTTAAAGCAAGGATTGGGGTAGTCCAAGTAGCTATGCCTGGTATATATCCTACATCTTGTAGAACATTTGAGCTTATTATGCTCGCGTTTGGTGGGAGGGATGCATTATTCAACGGAAGATGTTGTCTGTACTCATGCAAGCATTAAAATTCTCTATTCAGCAGAACCTGTTCACCGGGCGTACACTTACCTGAGTTACGGATCCTTGTTATGTTATTCAATGAGCCCTGGCCATCAAAACGCTGGGAGGCTGTACACTTCCAATAGAAATGTCGGTGTTTACTCTGTGGGCAGGAGGCTGAGCGGTGGTCCATAATTAACGCGTGTTGATATAGTGGGTGCCTGGTGCCTGCCAGACTCACCTCTGTCATAACACACGGCCTGCCTACCCCTCCCTGCAGTATACATACCTTCCATACACGTAGGTGGTGGAGGAAACCGCATAACTCGCTCTTGCTGACTTATGGGGTAGTATGTGTATCGCGTGTGTGAGTCTGTTTGGCCCAGCCCGCCGAACAATCGGACCTGCTTTTTACTGAAGTTGTGATGAAGTCATATGCACTGGCTTAACAGTGTAATCACGTGATATAGCTGATAGGGTCAGGTGTTCAGGTAGGCCAGAACTGTCTGTTCCTCAATTGCATCATCACGTATGATGGAGAGAAGGGTTCGAGCCTTTGTGTTACTGATGAGAAGGTGCTTGTTACATACTAGGTGGGTTAACTGGGTAATGTGGGGGATCATACAACTCTATGTGGGATTGAGTCAGTGCTGGAGTGTCGTGCTGCAGAAATGCTCTGCATTGTTCAATCCATGTCATCGTAACTATGCCTGAAATGCCTTGTATCCCTCAGGAATCCGATCGCTGTGTAGCTATTCATCACAAGGTGTGACATGCGAAGCATGATCTACAGTTTCGTCAGCTGGCCTTTCTTCTGGACTTTGACCTCCTGAATTTGCCCTTTTAAAATTCCGATGTTCTCACTTCATTGAGCATGCTTCATTGTGCCACAAATTATGCCACATGCATAGCTAATGTCCCGGCAAATGTCTATGTGCATTTTCAATACACGTGAAGATACATACACGTTGTAAGTGGTGTATTCAAATGTATGCGAGTGTGTGCCGTGCATTGCTCAATGTCTGCCGTGGAATATGAGGAGAGGCAGAACAATGTCTCATCACTGAAAGATGTATAAATGTCTGTATATAATATGAAAAGGAAGTGGGTTGTAGTTACAGTCTGACGTATTATCTATAGACGGTGATATATCCCTGTCATTACATCGCTGCATAAATAGGGGAATTACGTATGTATGTAATGCTGTAATTGTGTGGTCGTCATGTAACGAAACATGGATCACACACGCAGCTATTAAGGAAACATACAAACCAATTATAATGTTGTGCAAGTATTATTATGTCATAGTCTGTGTGTATGATTTGAGATGTGTGGCCACTTATAATTCAAAGCCCATTCACAGCATCACACAATAACTACTGACCTGTAATTTCTGTGTAGGAGTACATGAAGACAGATGAATGAGGTGTTTATTATGCGGGAGCATAAAATAATTGTACATGCCCAGCAGATGAGTAACTCTGCGCATATTTTGTTTGGCCTATTTTCAGCGTTTTTGTCCGTCTGTAAGTTTGACAAATTGAGGTAATGCAGACGGCAATTAAATCTTCTTCGTTGGGGCATTTCGCGCCTTGTTTTCTGGTGGTCTTTTGAAATGTGAAAGTGTAGTACCTCACAATAGGGACACCCATGTCCTCTACACTATCTCGTCCTCAGCCAATTAGTGCACCTTCTGTGCACAGGACCCAATGGGCACTGTACTCCACATCCGTGGACACAAACAAGTGTGTGTGTGTGTGGACGCTACCACAATAGGGCATGTGTAGGTTGTAGTGTTGGTGTTCCGTCCCTGTATCGTTGGAGGTGTGTGCCCGAGTGAAGCTGTCTGGTATGCAGGAGTTTGGAATGAGGCTGGGCCTGGGATGCCAACTCTGTGGTTAGGAGCATCACGTCACTACTGGCTTCTGGCACTGCCAAAACAGCTTCCCGCCCTGCGGGCCAGGATCTGCCTATAATAGAGCCAGTAGCTGCCTGCCCGCCTCACATTCCACAGTCCTGAGGTGCAGTGTAGGGACACGAGTGTAGCTGGTCTCAGGTAGCCAGGTGTGTGTCTGGACTGGGTAGCCCGAGAGCAGTAGTTTGTTTTGTGTAGCTGAAACTTGAGACTCCAGTCTGTATGGTCTCAGAGGTCTAAAGATAGCCACTGCAGGAGCTAGATAGTAGTGGAGTGTTTGTCCTGGGTCTGCTGCAGTAGTATATTGGATGGTGTCATGGGAAATGCACCACTGTGCATATCGCGACGGGCAGAAGGTGTGGGCCTGGCTGAGTACAGCTACCCTGACTACATGTTGGTGCCTGGACCGTCTCTGAGGTGTCTGTCAGAAAGCCCCGAGCTGCAGGCCGGCTGTGGAGAGGGGGAGGGAGAGGAGGAGGGGGGAGAGGGTGTGAGAGGGAGGGGAGTGTGGTGGAGTGAGGACTGGGAGCAGTGGGAGGGGGAGGAGAGGGAGTGTGACATGATCCTGGGTCTGGAGTTACTTCAAGACTCTGTGAGTTTACCACTATGGGCTAACCTTTAGCAATACCCACATGGGCTCTGAATCTTACACGGTGCTAATGGACCGTGCTGTTGTGCTTTTTTCCACTGAAAGTGAGCCACAACAGTCTTGGTAGAATGCACACTTTACACATTGAGAAACTATAACATGCACTGTGTCTTACTGACATCACTTTGTATTCCCCCAGAGAGTAGGCCGCGATGCAACACACAAACGTCACCCGCCAGCAGAATGTCGTGTTTTGCTGGGCAGGTCATGTTTCACATTTTCCTGAAATAATGTCCCAAAACCAATGACTTGTATATTCATATCTGACACACAAGACGTCACTAGCGGTGTGCAGTTTATTACAACGGACATTTCTTGTCAATTGCACAAACATGACACTCTTTCTTGGCCGTTGTGAAGAAATACAGTCACTCATAAACCATGCACTGGAGATATGTGTTATAACATAATATGTATAGTGCCGGTAGAGTAAGTGAGTGAGTGAGAGGACGTGAAGTGTTGCCAGGAGTGAGGCTGTGTATATAGTCTCATCAAAGGAGCACTGGTCGCTGGCTTGCCAGACTTTGGGTGTGTCTGTCAACAATGTCAGAGCCGCAACCAATCATGGCAATCGTCCCTTTTGCAGCAGCTAATAAAATAATGCAAAATTTGTGCGTTTTAAGTGGGTTTGTAAGTGTTGTGTTTGCTGTGTGCGTCTTATGGTTGTCGACTGAGCCAGGACCGTAGAAAAGGCTTTTTGTTGCGGAGAGTGTGTACTCAAAACGTGTTCTCGTCGTGTGCACATTCCGTAGGTGAAATTCATGACGTGTAGATGTGAGAAAGTAGTGTCGGTATGTGTCTGTGTGTCAAAAAATCATCACTCACTTGTGGTGTTGTGGTATTCATGGTGTTGGTAATGAAGGTCGCACAGGAATATTCACTAGCAGTGCCCAGTGCAAGTGGGCCGTGAATTAAAACAACAGTTTTTAATCCCAAGTTTTGAGTGCGTGAGATACGTACCAGTAGCTATTTGCAAACGCGGTGTAATGTACACATTCCAAGGTAACCTCAGGAATGGAGACTGGTCACAACAAATGCAAAATATTATCAACAAAAACCGATTTTTGATTATTCTGTTGAGCTCTGTCCACTGTGAGGTGGCTAGAGAGCCATGTAGCATTGCCCAGAGAGCCGAGTGTTGTGGGTTTAACTCAACCCATGCAGCTTTTGTCTTGAAAAAAGGCGTGTGTCCTTTTGCTTTGCACTTCCCTCACTTTCATGTATACATCGTTCACACAAAATCTGTGGACACAAATGCTTTGTCATGGAGCAAATGCACGTTTTCTCTCGTGTTTATCTTGTCATTATGCAAAAGAAAGCCAATTCCCAGGTGCTGATAAACACGTGAAACTCAGCTCTACAAAGGAACACACCTGCAATAAACACCTGGACCTGAGACTACAATTAGTCTTGTTACGCACCTCTTCTCGGGTGTCAGTCCCATTCACCGGCTCCTAGTAATTGTTTGTATGAACTCCTTTGTGCGCTGCCTGGGCCGAGTCGGTGGGCTGCCGATGTCAGAGGGCGTGTGTGCTGTCTATCGTACGTACGTGTGGGCAGTGTAGGGAGTCTCCCATTCAGCTCACAGAGCAGTTTGGATCTCAGCTCCCCTCCCGCCTCAGAATTAGGCCTGCACATATTAAATTACTCCATACAAGCCCACTATACCCTCGTCCATACAAACCCACTATACCCTCGTCCATACAAACCCACTATACCCTCGTCCATACAAACCCACTATACCCTCGTCCATACAAACCCACTATACCCTCGTCCATACAAACCCACTATACCCTCGTCCATACAAACCCACTATACCCTCGTCCATACAAACCCACTATACCCTCGTCCATACAAACCCACTATACCCTCGTCCATACAAACCCACTATACCCTCGTCCATACAGACCCACTATACCCTCGTCCATACAGACCCACTATACCCTCGTCCATACAAACCCACTATACCCTCGTCCATACAAACCCACTATACCCTCGTCCATACAGACCCACTATACCCTCGTCCATACAGACCCACTATACCCTCGTCCATACAAACCCACTATACCCTCGTCCATACAAACCCACTATACCCTCGTCCATACAAACCCACTATACCCTCGTCCATACAAACCCACTATACCCTCGTCCATACAAACCCACTACTACCCCTCGTCCATACAAACCCACTATACCCTCGTCCATACAAACCCACTATACCCTCGTCCATACAAACCCACTATACCCTCGTCCATACAAACCCACTATACCCTCGTCCATACAAACCCACTATACCCTCGTCCATACAAACCCACTATACCCTCGTCCATACAAACCCACTATACCCTCGTCCATACAAACCCACTATACCCTCGTCCATACAAACCCACTATACCCTCGTCCATACAACCCTCTATACCCTCGTCCATACAAACCCACTACACCCTCGTCCATACAAACCCACTATACCCTCGTCCATACAAACCCACTATACCCTCGTCCATACAAACCCACTATACCCTCGTCCATACAAACCCACTATACCCTCGTCCATACAAACCCACTATACCCTCGTCCATACAAACCCACTATACCCTCGTCCATACAAACCCACTATACCCTCGTCCATACAAACCCACTATACCCTCGTCCATACAAACCCACTATACCCTCGTCCATACAAACCCACTATACCCTCGTCCATACAAAACCCACTATACCCTCGTCCATACAAACCCTCTATACCCTCCCATACAAACCCCTATACCCTCGTCCATACAAACCCACTATACCCTCGTCCATACAAACCCACTACACCCTCGTCCATACAAACCCACTATACCCTCGTCCATACAAACCCACTATACCCTCGTCCATACAAACCCACTATACCCTCGTCCATACAAACCCACTATACCCTCGTCCATACAAACCCACTATACCCTCGTCCATACAAACCCACTATACCCTCGTCCATACAAACCCACTATACCCTCGTCCATACAAACCCACTATACCCTCGTCCATACAAACCCACTATACCCTCGTCCATACAAACCCACTATACCCTCGTCCATACAGACCCACTATACCCTCGTCCATACAGACCCACTATACCCTCGTCCATACAAACCCACTATACCCTCGTCCATACAAACCCACTATACCCTCGTCCATACAAACCCCACTATACCCTCGTCCATACAAACCTCTATACCCTCGTCCATACAAACCCACTATACCCTCGTCCATACAAACCCACTATACCCCTCGTCCATACAAACCCACTATACCCTCGTCCATACAAACCCACTATACCCTCGTCCATACAAACCCACTATACCCTCGTCCATACAAACCCACTATACCCTCGTCCATACAAACCCACTATACCCTCGTCCATACAAACCCACTATACCCTCGTCCATACAAACCCACTATACCCTCGTCCATACAAACCCACTATACCCTCGTCCATACAAACCCACTATACCCTCGTCCATACAAACCCACTATACCCTCGTCCATACAAACCCACTATACCCTCGTCCATACAAACCCACTATACCCTCGTCCATACAAACCCACTATACCCTCGTCCATACAAACCCACTATACCCTCGTCCATACAAACCCACTATTCCCTCGTCTGAAATGGATACACAACGAGCCTTTGTATAGCAACTCTTCCATTGCACTTTTAAGGATCATACAAACTCCAGCAACGGATGTGGTACACTGTATGAAACTTTCTTACTGCAAATAACTACACAGATTTGTTGGATTCCCTAGGCAACCTACATGCATGAACCCCAGCCAGCTATGTCCATTGATTATGACTCACATACACGTGGGTACTGCAACATATCCCTAGGCAACCAGAGTGTATGAGCTCTGCGTGCACAAGCAGCATTGTATAGGCTGATAAAATTCCTCAGTACCTAGCTTCATACTTGTCAATTGCACTGCTCTGATACTTGCTTCAAGGTTGTTGCATCCCATTTTGACTTTCAGCAACTCCATCGATGTGATTTTAACCCTCTGGACGCCATGGGGATCTGATGTATAAAGTATTAGCGCCTAGTATTATAACCCCCATATAAATTCTTATGGACTTATGGAGGCTCTGGACACATTAATGTGTCTGTGGCTTGTTAAGTGTTATCTTAGCTATTGTATGACAAATTCCTGTTGGTGCCATTTTAGGCTTTGTAACTGATTCTCTGACTACAGGACGAAGTCTACTCTGGCCTCTTGCGGTTCATCTGCTACCAGGATGGAGCCAACACGGCAAAGTCACATGACTTGCATGTGACCAGCGAAATGACATGCAGTGACGTGGTCCCTCTGCTGAGCCAGCAACTGGAGACAAACGTCAATGGGATGTCCCGACCAGCTGGACACATCTCACTTGTGCAGGGAGAGAGTAAGTTGCTGCCTAAACATTGTTCGATAACAAGCATGTACATTTACAAGCTGTAGTTACATTATTTGTAACTCTAAAAGCCGGTAATTGCATATTAACTGTGGCTGACATGATTACAATGCACGAAGAGCGTAACTCTTGGCTAGGAGTGTGCAGTGTTGATTCGTGCTGCCTTCTGAGGTATAGATGACTTGTGTACACAGACAAGATTTGTAAAGTTGATTTATGAAGCGTGGATCGTAATGTCCACACCTCCTCAAATATTTTCAGCACTCGCAAAATGCAGAAAATGTCACGATATTATTATTAGCAATTTTCACTCTTACATTAATGTGCATGACAATGTGTGGGGTCGCGAAGTGGTGACACACTGTATAACTGCATATAGCCGTGTACTAATCAGCAGTTGTGGGAGTAAAGAAGCATGCCTACTCTGTGTGCTCCTTTTTTGTGGGAGTTGATTTCTCCGCATTCCGTTAATAATCTCAAAAAATTCTCAGAAGTTTTAACGCGCATATAAAAGAGCAGACAAGTCTAGCTACTTGTGCTCAGTGTTGACCTCTATAGCTGTCTGTCACTCGAGCTACGTAGCTACGTGTTTACTGTCTGCAGTGGAGAGGGTTCTGGAAGACACCGACAAGCCACTGGACATTGCTCTCGACTGTTCCTCAAAGGGACTCGCTTCCCCAAGGTTTCTGTTTCGCCTGCCGGTCGATCCCCTCACCCCTGATGGGTCTCCGTCCCACCGCATGCGTACCAGCGGCTTCACCTCGTACGTAGGTGCCCTCACTGCCCACTCTAACCCTAACCTTGCCGTCACTCCCTCCTCCCTCCCGGCACCCAATTTCTCGCCCCATCTCCCGGCGGTGCTCGATCGCAACCGCTGGCTCTCGACCGACGGGGAGCAAAACAGCCTCTACAGCACGGACAGCTACACCAGCCTCTCGAGCCCCGGGCGCCCGGTGCACCGGCTCCAACACATGTCCAAGTCAGTCTCTGCACTGGAGCAGGTGCCCAGATCTTCGCCACTGAAGAGGAAACCCATGCATATGCTCTCTGAAGACGGACACCAGAACGGCTCCCCGGCCATCTCCACGTCCGCACAGAACTTCCTCCAGCTGCCTCAGGCGACCACCCCACAGTCTCCGTCCACTAAGATGACACGTGCCAAGAACTCTGTCGGAAACTTTTTCTCGCGCTCCCTACGCAACAACCGGAAGATGAAATCCAAGAGCAAGTCATCAAAGTCCATGTACAGTGGCACTGACAGCGGGTCTCACGGGAATCTCTACCTACCTCCAGTATCGCCAGAGGAAAGACAAGCATCTGTGATGGTCGCAAACCTCGTTTCTCCCATCCTGGCCGAGCGAAAGATGACAATGAGCACGGTCATGCACATCCACTACAGGGACACCAGGGATGCCTTGGTCTACAAGAGCCTGCTGGTGTCGCACAAGACCAAGGCACGGGACGTGGTAAAAGAGGCTCTGGAGCGGTTTGATATGACCGTAGCCAACCCAAAGGACTTCTGCCTGTTTGAGGTGGTAGGTCACTGGCAGGATGTGTCCGAGAGGGTCGAGCTAGAGTCTTCGCTAAAGACAGGTGTTTCTGGTGCAGCCGCACTCAGTCTGAGTAGCACCTCACTCCTCACTGCTCCCCGGCCAGCTGTGACCTCCATCGAGGAGTTTGTCGAGTGCTACTTGCGGCCGATCGGTCCGAGCGAGCGGCCGTACAACCTGCAGACCTGCTTGGCCACACAGGAGGGATACACCCGCCGCTTTGAGCTCCGACGACAAGACAGCGCCATCTTGGCCTCCAGAGTGATGTCTTGCTCACACGAAACGCTACTCGATGAGAAGGAGACCGAGAGATGCCAGAGGGTCTCTGCCGAAGTAGTAACTTCAAAAAGACTCTCCTGGGCAGACAATGAGTTTTGCAAGGGTGCATCTCCACTGTTTGGTGATACGAGCCATCGGAAGAGGGGGAAACGGCAAAACAACATATTGCGAAGTTCTCTCGGCAGTGCCGTCCCGGAGGGATCGGAAACCGAGGAGGACATTCTGGACGAAGTGAAAAGCAGAAGAAGGGCGATGTCTACAGGTGGGAATGGTGGCAAAGAGGTAGCTGGCAAGGTCAGTTTGAGGCAGGAAAAGGTGCGCGAGTCCCAGCCAGACAGTCTGCTAGTTGACGAGGGAGATCCCTTTGCACCCGAGGTCTCCACTCCTCGTAGAAGAAAGGTTCTCTTGTCAGCCACCAGCTCATCCCCCGACAGTGGCGTGGTGAGCTTCAGCAAGGACAAGAAGTTGCGGCACAACTCAGATGAGCTGTCATCGTCTGCCAGGAGCGGGAATCGCCTCGAGTCTGCCAGCGTGTTCAATGACACGCCAACACACACGTCGAGTCTCTCCCACACCCAGCTACTCAAGACACCTTTCTTGCTCAATCTCAAGATGAGTGACACGGAGAAGGAGCCCCTGGTGCAACCTCTGGAGGCCGAGAGGGTGAGCATCACGTCGTCAGCAGGCAGCGAAGGCTTCAAACCAGAGGAACTGGAGGAGGATGACTCCAGACAGTGTGTGTGTCTCCATCATCCAGACTTGGCCAACGACTCCCGTCCATTTTGCTCGTTACAGCTCCAAACGAATGGGGGTTACTCCGCAGATCGCACTGCGGGAGGCCGGGTGTACATCCTTCACCCGACCCACCCTGAGTTCCCAGTTCATCTCAACGGCAACCTCGTAGTCGAGCCAACCACTCTCTCTCACGGGGACCTTCTCTCCCTCCACAAGGATCGCTCTCTTTTGCTCTTCCAGGACTACTCAACTGCCCACTCCACGCAGCAATACAGCTGGAGACCGCATCCCTCAAGCCACATCTTGCCTTCCTCTCCACTCCTTCTCAGCACCCCACTGCCATCGTCACCACTCATCACAGATGTCTCCTCCACCAGAGGCGGGGAGCGATCAAAGGGCTCGCTGGAGAGGGAAGACAACAAGAGGAGCGCCGCAGAGGATGAAACGCCGCAGCAGGGCGAGCGTCATTCTCTGAGGCACCAACAATCTGAACCAGCAGCTGTCTCACTACATCGACCCTCATCCTCTGGCCCCTCACCCACAGATACAACAATCTACACCGACGCTGCCTGTCAGACGCCCACACCGCAGCAAGAGAGGAAACACACGGCTCCAGATCATCACGGAGGTAGGGAGGATAGCCAGAGACCGGGCTCAGTCGACTCGGCCCGTGGACGACACGAGAGGCACGCTGACACCGAGAGTATGTGGTTTTACTCCCTCCAGCGTCCTCCTAAGAAAACTCATCGCTCGCACCGCAACCTCTCCTCATCTTACTCCCCCGTCTCTCCCGTTCCTTCCTTCTCTTCCTCTCGCAAGTCTCTCTTCTCCTTCAATCTCGGCGAAGAGGACACCATCCTTCGTCATCTGGTGAGCGACCTGGACGCGAGTCAGACTCCCTGCTACCTGGGGCCAGCCCTCCTGCTAGCCATGTGCACTGAGTACTCCCACAAGTGTCATGGTCTGGCTCCCACCTCCAGATTTGTACAGAAGACAGTGGACTCTGTGCAGGAGGTGGTCTGGGTGAGTTTTGTGACTTTTATACATCTGCCTGCTTTGTGTGTTTTTCTAGGGAATCAAAGAAAGTATTTGTTATTGTGTTGCCGGTATTATCAGTTGTAATTGTTTGTGTTTGAGAAAGAACTGTGGCACAGGTTCATAGTATAGTGTTCCATTGACAACACAGGAATGAGGGTAGTGTACGCCAGCCTGATCGTTGTGTAGCCATGTATATTGTTGAGTACAACATCTTGCATACTAGAGTTATCTAATTGTAGTCCTCCTTGGCCTCTGCTTTAGAAAAATTGAAGCCTTCCTCTGGTCACTACTCCCCCTCTATCCATTGCTTGCTCCCACTTGTGGCCTTAGGGGTGTACCATAGACGTATGGTGGTTTGGATGTGTGCAGCCTATCATGCTTTTGTGTGTGTTTTCTTGTACACAGAGATGCACTGAAAGGTTGACAAAATGGAAGCCTGACCCTGCCATGTAAGTGCTGTGACCGTTACACAACGCCTTTATGCGCACAGTTTGTTGTGACACCGATTGTGTGTACTTTTTGGAGAGTATTATTGCCATTATTTTGTTGCCTGGTGTTTAGGGCATCACGTCCCGCATCCCACTGCGAGGATCTGTTCCCACTGCTCCAGCCGACTGTGTTCTGGCTGGCCAATGGCCTGGAGCTACATCACCTTCTAACACACTCGTGCACTCCCCTTCTTCCTCTCTCCTCTTCCTCCTCGAATGACTCCCTCTCCACTCTCCACAGTGTCCTGATCTATACCTTCCAGCAGATGTTCTACACTGTCAGCAAGGTATAGATATGTACATGTTGGTAGAGCGCTCGCCTAGAAAGCAGAGTGTCATGCGTTCGAATCCCGCCCAGGGCAGCTCGTTTTTTTGAAAGAGCTGTCTGAATGTAGTTGACTTGTTTGCTTTGCCTTTCTACCTTGGTACTCCTTGTTGACACATGAAGGTATTAGACCATGTGATGCCAATAGAAAAAAGATGTGGAGCTCTGGACATGTACAGATAGATAATCCTGACCCTTGAACTGAATTGCTGCATTACTGCATGTAGCCAAATTCTTCTCTTAGGCTATTGTTTCGTGATGGTTCAATGTCAGCAGCTATGCAATGGGTGGTTCTATGAACAGATCCGAATATTTTGTGGTGGCACCCTCATTCCTGACCTGCCAACAATATAGCCAACTACCTACACATGTTCAGGTACTGTTCTACTCACTGCCACTGGTATTGGATGGCTACAAGAACCAGTCAGAGGGCGAGGAGGATGGGAATAAGGTGGTGGAGGGAGGGGGAGAGGATGAGATAGTGGAACAGGCCGTGGACTTCCTGCAAGCTCTGCTGGACCTGATGACCAATCTACAGCTGCACCTCCAGGTATAGCTATATACACAGGACCCACATTGTACCCACACACAGCTTACAGATGAGATGGATTTCAAGTGAGAGTGTGTTTTAGCCCACCAGTGAAAAAAGCTGCAACCACCATAATTACTCCACCTACGTAGCTCCCCATTACACAAGCCATGTGCATTGTTGTTTATGGGCTAGGTGAAGACTTGCACAATTTACTGATGCCTGTGTGTGCAGGTCGTGTCTTGCTTCTACGCCAACCTGTTCTTCTTCATCAACACCACTCTCTTTAACTCTGTGATGCAACTGGGACCCCAGAGAGGAGTCTTCACCCACTCTGCAGGAACCACTCTCAGGTCTGTGCCCACACCAATAGCATAGCACTCACTATTATGTCAGTGTGACGTAATTTATAATGCTGTTATAGCATGCACATACGTACACAGTAAGTTGATGTATGAATATAGTTAGCATAATTTGATAAGCGGTAGTATCCCTACTGTTCGTTAGTAGGAAAATCGGGCAACATATTAAACATGCTTATTAACAAGGGCCAGCACAGTCATGTTGCAGCAATGAATACGTGTACGTGGTAATAATGGCTCATTGGGTAGTTAGCTCACTCTGCTAGCCAGTATAGTTAGCTCACTCTGCTAGCCAGTATAGTGAGCTCACTCTGCTAGCCAGTATAGTGAGCTACATATGTATGCTACGTATATAGTGAGCTGTATGTAACGTATCCTCATGTACATGTGCAGGTCATCGCTGACTCTGCTGGAGGGCTGGGCGTGCCAGGTGGGGTTCAAGGGCGCAGTCCTCCACCATCTGGCCAAGCTTTCCTCCATCCTGGACATCTTAGCCACCCCTCCTCAACAACTGCTCCAGGTTTGCTCTCGTATGCAGCATTACCCACACAGACACACTGCATGGAAGATGTTTTGTGTTGAGGTCAAAGTTCTGTTGCATTGATTCATGCGGTCTAAAACTACGTTTGGTTTGCACTAGTGATAGAGTTTAGCCAAATGTGCTTGCCTTAGGAGTGCGCATATTTTCATTAACCTCTTCCCTTTTTGTTTTTACGGTTATTCTCCTCTTCTTCCCTCTTCCTCTCTCCCTGTCCTTTCAACTCTACGTGTCTCTCCCACTCTCTCTCTCTCTCGTGTATATACAGATGTCCTGGGGTGACCTGCGTGAAGAGTTCCCTGTCCTGCATCCGGCCCAGTTGCACCACCTCCTCTCTCACTACGTCCCTCCTCCCTCTCTCTCCCCACCCTCAACCTGGAGCCCCACACACACTGACCTCTCCGCAGCAAACAACAGGGGTAATGTGCTACCAATGGACACATGTAAATTCATTTCTTAAGATAGGGAGCCTAAAAGTCATGCACCAGAACAGTGGGCAGGGACTCACAAAGATTTTTTGGTGTCTTTAGCATCCAGACCCTCTTCCTTTCCCTTTCCCAGTGGTAGTGACACTACTTAACATTGGGAATATCACAGTCAGCTATGCATGCACAAAATTACTTTATGTGCTCAGAGAATGAGAATGGAACACAGATACACACGATACTCATTTTGGGCGATACTCCACATGCAAATAACTGTTTCTTCCTCCCTATTCCTAATACCTTCACCAGCACTAGTGAGTGAGTCTTACGACACTCACCCTGGGTTCACACTCCCCGAGGCCAGCTACAGCCTCAGCCTCAGCAAGACCCCTCCACAACACCTCCAGTTCCAGACACTGGTGGATACTCTACATGAATCCCTCGGACAGAATTCAAGTCAGTCACTCATTACGTTGTAATGTAAAGCCTGGTTCGCAATACGTTTCGCTGTAGCCGACAACATGATTTAAGGCAAAGTCACGGTCATGTTTTAACATGCCGCTACGTAAATTTGTACCATGTCATGTCTTGTCCTTCACATCTTGATCATACAACAATTTGTGACTTCCAATCACGTAATGCTGTGTTGTACATACGTTTGTACGTACGTAAACCAGGCTTAACAATTACCTCTTCAGGGCTGTTTCACCTGCATGTTGCCAATATGCATGTGCTTTGTGTTGTGTGCATTGCCAAGAATATTATAATAATATTTCTTTTCTTGCATAAAACTGTGGTGTTCCTTCATCCTTCACTCTTCATACATAGAAAAGTGAGTTCTGTAGATCGACAATGTGTACAAATATGAAGCTCCTAGGTGTGGGGTTACTCATATTAAGAGATGTGTGTCACTTTCTATTTGCAGTGTTGATGTGGTGCCAGTGGTGGAGAGTGCTCCGAGTGCCCAGGTGCCCACCATCTTCACCAGCCTCCCAACTCCCCCCGCCATCACCACCTCACACCCTCACAATCATCACCACCATCACCGAAATCACCATCACAAGACCAGCAGCAGCAAAGACGGTACCCACCACCGAACAGGACACAAAAGGAGGAGCACGAAAAAGGAAGTAAAGCGGGAGACAGACAGTGATATGAATGAAAACGGACCACAAACATTCGCACACACCCTGTCCCACGACTCCCTTACCTCAGATCCCCTCAACAACAGCCACACTGGCAGCAGTATTGCAAACGATGTCTCTGGCATCGGGAGCAACACAGAGTCCCAGGAGGACCTACTGGACAGCACCTGCAATGGTAAAAACAGACGCAACCGTCGGAGCCAAAAGACGATGGGAGAGAAGACAAATTCCGGGTCAAAGGTTGCGAATCTCATTAGCAGCTACGAGGACACGGCGAAACTGAGTCAGAGCTCGTCAGAGAGTGTCAAGATCACGAGAGTGGTGGGGGAGATGAGGGAGGGAGAGGGTGTGGAGAGAGGGAAGGTGGGGAGGGTGATGTCAATGGTCACTGATCATGCATTCTCCCAGCCACAGACCCTCATTCTTCAAGAGGTATAATTATATGTATGGGAAGGAAATTGTATAGCAAACTACAATAACCTAAATTTCTTAGTGAAAAAGCCTTGAACACTCTTTGAATTTTATGGTCACGCTTAAGAAGAATGTCAATTAGTCACCAAAAGGAAGTGTAACGTCCGTCATTCGTAGGAAGTCTGGCTTCACGCCAGTAGAGTGCGCGCACGAGCGGCTAGGCTCAGTAGACTGTTACCGCATGGCTGCAGGCGCGAGGCAAAATATGCGCGTGCGCATTCCTATAAGTATTATACTCCTGTTCAAGTTAAGTTTAGTACCTAGATATAGTTCATGCTGACCAGGTTCCACTATTTTTTGTGCTATCTTTTTACCATCGTGTATACTTGTCTCTCTGTGTGTGTATAGTACGACATTGAAGAGTGGGCGTCGCCCTCGTTCCCAGATGGAGCCCACTTTGTCAATGTTCAGAGAGGGATCAAGGGATTCGGGATTCTTCTGGTGGAGCAAAAAGTGAGAACAGAAATAATATATGGGAATAGATGACCAATTGCACAAAGCGTACTACCTGGCTGCAGCAAACGTTTGTTTCAAGAATAAAGGGTGTTGGGCAAAATATCTCCATCTCTGTTGTTTTTACATACACCCTATGGTAATGCAGGACCCCGTGACAGACACTACTGCCATTTTCATCCAACAAGTTCTTCCTGGAAGCACAGCAGATCAGGTATTTACACATTCGTACTGAGCGTGCAGTAGGTTCTGGTAATAGGTCGGGGTTGCAAGAAATTGAGCTTTCACTGTGACCTCTAGCTGCGCTGTTACATGACTTTGTGCTAACCAACAACTTCACCAGAGATCAGCATCTTTCTCTATCTCCTTCCATCTGCAGTGTAAGGATCTAAAGGCGGGGGATAGAGTGCTAGCTATTGACGGTCAGCCATTGGACGGAGCTGACTACTGCATGTAAGAGATTTCTCTGTTTTATTTCACTGAATGTGTGCTGTTTGCTTTTTACTCTGTCTATCAATAATAATATGTGGCTAGCTAGCTCTTCTTTGTTCACAGAGCTGAAAAGTATCTGAAGGAAGCTGAGGACGATGTCCAGCTGGTGCTAGCCCCAAGACCACTCACCATAATAACACAGTAACATTTTTACACCCTTACGTACAATCTGACTAATTTCTTTCAACCGTTTCTCATTTTTTTCGTCAGCATTTTAACCCCACCCTGTGCACCCAAGCAGCACTATCATAGCTTTAAGCAGATTCAAATTTATACCAGATTTATAATATTATTGCGAAACTATCCGTTTTTTGGTTCTCATCACATTCCATGTGCATTGATCTGAGATATCTATTTTTTGTCAATCAAATCATAGAACAAGCGTGTGATTGCGAATCAGAATGCAATTTGTGGTAAAATCAAAATACACCAACTCAGAGACAAGCATGGTAATTATCTGAATCAGAGTGCCATTTGGGCGATATCAATTGTGGTAAATTGTGGGAGTCCCCCAGCAATCACCAGCCGGTGGTCTGGCAGGACAGCAGCACAGCAGAGCTGTCGACTGGATGGCAGTCTCTGTACGGGCGACCAGGTCCCCTCCTCCGCATTGCACAGCCAGATGAGACACGCTGGCTGCTCACTGGTGCTAGTGATCTCCCGACCACCCACGGCAAACAGGTGGTCATCTAAGCAAATGGCTGTCATGAGCGGAAAGGGGGAGTCTGCCAGTTGTCTCCACAGCTGTCCGGTTCGGTCAGTGCCGGCAAACATGGAGAAGAAGCGACACGAGGAGAGGATTTTCTGTATTGATGCCAGGTATACACTCGTGGTGGGCCCTATCTGGTCGATTCCACCCAGGAGACAGACTTCGTTCCCGCAGACCGCCACCGACTGTCCAGCCATGCCTTGAGGTAGTCTCGTGGCTCCTTCCCACCTCGAGCTTGGTATGTGGAGTACCTCCACAGCGTTCACCAGCTCCCCAACACCACTCTGCCCCCCAACCACCACCAGATAGTCCCCGGAGACAAACGCCGCTGTGGAGGCCCGTGGGGTCGGCAGGGGAGGAAAACTGCACACCCAAGTCCCACTCTTACTGTCATAGCTGGACAGAGCTCCCGTACATTGATTGGTTGATGGGTCAAGTCCGCCCACTAGTACTAGCTGGTTGTGGATAATGACCGAGGCCGAGTGGTACTGTGGTGGATTAGGTTTGAGAACTTCCCAACTGGAGATGGTGTCGACGCGAGAGATAAGGACCTCTCTGTTTGGAGTAGAGTCCTCTCTCGCTCCTCCACAGAGGAAGAGTCTCTGGTCGCAGTGGTGGAGTCGGAGTGTGGAACCTTGGAGGCCACACGGGAGACACTTGTGGCTCGTCCAGACTAGTTGACGCTGTTTGTACACCTCCACCAGAGGCTGTTCGGTCGTGCGGTCCTCCTCGTCCAGATTGTCTGGCAGGTCATCTTCACTGTCAAGGTCAGACTCTGGCAGAGGAGAACTGCTAGTATCTTGAGCTGGGGAGGAAGGAAAACAATGTGGTGTAAGTATTCTCTTTCGCAAAAAAAACACCTATGCTTCTACACTATGGGCAGGTAATAGAAAATTAGCTGAGAAACAGACTTTGATTTGGAGTGTGGTCTGAAAGAGGAGAGTTTTTGCCAGCTCTTCTGAACCTCCTTAGGTTGAATGGCAACCTTCTCTTTGCCTTTGCTTGTTTATTAGTGGCAACATTCACCTCCTGGGACACAGAGTTCACTGAGCACGGACCAGGTACATGAATTGATAGATACCTACCTCTTTTGGTAAACTGGGTGAAGCCTGGCTACCACGATCCATTTGACTTAGCTCCTCGTTCAGTTGTGCTTGTGCTCTCTGTAATGGCACCATTCCCGAGTCATTATCGCACAATTTATTGTACAAACCTCACTCAATAGGCGAGCTGTAAACTCCTGTTCTTCTTTTAATTTTTCTGAAGTCTTTTCCTGCTCCTTAGTCTAGACAGATCCAGCAGCAGATGACTTACAGAGGGACTACATTCTGTATCAGACCTTATCTGATAGTTCCTGTGAGAGGTCTTCTACTCTTCGCTCGAGATTTGCAATCCTCTGCAATGCTGCTGACATCTGGTCCAGCTGAAACAATAACCAGACTTCAACTTACAAGGAATAGGCACTCTAGCAGAGTATATACACACATCACTTCATCAGCACATTCTAGAGTACCAATCCTTAACATTTGAGCATACATACTGAAAACTTTATGCTTACATACTTCGATATTTGCCACTTGTAAGCTGTCCAGATAGCTCTTGGCCGTTTTCACCTGCTCCAGCTGTTGACTGAGTCTGCCTGCAGTTGGACGATCCTTACCACCGTTCTTTATGCACTCCAACAACAGTGGCCGCAGTACGTGTGACTTGCTGACCAAACCAATGTGGTCTCTCCGTCGCTCTCTCTCTGGGACCATCTTACTGAACCCGAGGACCCCAGATGCCAGCTCTGGGCCTGGTTCTGGGTGCTTGTGAGTCAATATCTGCAGGAGGTTCACTCCGAGTGCAAATACATCCATGGCCGGTGAGAGATGGGCCGGGATCCTGCGGACCTCTGGCGGCATGTAGGCTAGGGTACCAGGAGCTGGGGTGTTGTTCCAGTTGAGAAACGAGCCGTTGTCAACCTTTGCCACGCCGAGGTCCGTGAGCTTGGCCCGAAACTCCTGACTCAGTAGGATGTTGTTGCTGGACAGGTCTCGGTGGACGATGGGCGGCTCGAGAGCGTGGAGGTAGGCAAGAGCCAGCGACACGTCGTGCACGATGTTCACCTCGATGTAGAGCGGGAGGGACTTGGTGCGGTAGAGCAGTCGCGAGAGGCTCTCGTGCATTAGCTCCATCACAATGACGGGCAGACGAGTCTCCTCGTCCTGGTAGAGGCCCAACAGCTGAACGATGTTTGGGTGACGGAGTTTGCAGAGTTTATCGCTCTCGTTGTAGAAGCTCCGCAGGACCAACTCGCCCAGCTGGTCCAGGCCGTTCTCAGTCACGAACTTCTTGAGCTTTTTGACGGCACAGAGGAGACCGCGGTACCTGCCCATGTAGACCACTCCGTACGAGCCCTGGCCGAGGGTCTTCGTCTCTAGTACCTGGACGCCTCTTATGACGTAGTCGCTAGGCAAAGTGACAGGACTCAGAGGCAGTTCTGCCATGGCGCTCTAGCTGCATCACAACTACAAGCCCCTCCTACACGCATGCGCACAATCTTCCACGCCACAAGCTAGCTAGCTAGCCCCGCCTTCGGTGAGCGCTAGAGAGAGATATGGCGATGACTGTATTTTCTGCCTCCGGACTCGGAATGCTGGTTATGGCAGGATTCCTTGCACTGGCAGCCGTGGCTCAAGTACGTTAACTACTGTGGCAGAGAACTTTTGATCAGTTAGTGCTGATTCCCTCAGCTGAATGATCCTGATCCACTGGTGTGGATGGTAAGTTGCTCTACACTACGTACATTGCTGGTTAACTCACCCTTCAATTCAGATCTTACTTGCAGGCTGCGTATGGCCTTCCAGCAGTCCTCACTCTCTGGACATGTATCACTGACATTGGTAAGGGAGCTCAGTGTGTAAAGGCCATCCATTGGTAAGGGAGCCATCCATTCAGAAGTAACGAACCTTTTCCACTGGTGTATATATTCTGGATATGAAAAAGTGAGTGTGGAGTGAAAAAATAGCGAATGGAAATCAGTTTGGGGAAGTGGACGATGACTGTTATCTCCGTCTTGTGATGATGCAGGAAGGTGGTTGTGGAGGCTCTTATGTCTTGCAGTTCTCATGAGTGTGGGAGTCTTTGCTGTCTCAGTTGTGTATCCCACAGTCAGAGATGGAAACATTGGCAACATCTTGACCTCGGAGGAGGGAAGGTGATACATTGTACAAGTTGTCGAGATTGTGCTTACACTGGTGTGTTCTTCCCTAGGGAAACTGCTGGTCTTATGATTGTGATTTTCTGGCTGCTACTTTTGCTACTGTTTCAAAGGTTAGACATGAACGTTGTGTACAAACTATAAAGGGAAATTGGATTCTCAGGGCAATCTGGTTTGATTGTGGTCTACTGGCATTTGCGATTGTACCTCCAAGTGCATGGATCGCCTACAAGTTCTACATCCAGGAGACACTCAGTCTTCCTCAACACTGCGAGGGACTAGTATAACCCTTTTGGTCACACAATGTTGTAATCTACACACTTGTAACAAAACTCGCACAATTGTGAACTTTGACCCGGTAGGCAGGTGGCATGGCGGCATTATCTCGTAAAAACCACCCACGCATCCTCAGAAGTGGTCAGTCGGCACTCGGATTTGGCGGTCGGCAGTCGGAGCTTTGATGTTGCTTTCATCTACCCTTTCAGTAAGGTAAATGGGGGTAACTTCGGACATGGGGTGATACACGGACATGACTCGCTATTCAGAAACAAGAGAAAGATTCGGATATATTTCACTTGATTACTACCTACCAAGGCGCTAACAAATCTCCCTCGCGTTCTTTTCGCAGCGAAAAATTTCGAGGCCAGTGTAACGCCACATGTCCGGAGTTACCCCCTTTACCCTTACTCAGTTTCAGTTCATTGGGCAGAATTACGCATGCGTGCAGGAGAGTTGCTGAAAAAACGCGTCGCGATCGGGAGGCGATGGCGCGCGCGGAATGCAAGCGTGAGCATGCGCGTGTATGTACGTACGTGTCGCTGGCTGGCACCGTCGTCGTGAACGAAGCACCAGCAGCTGTGTTGCAGTTGGAGATTGATCACAAGGTTAGACAGCACTTAAAAGATTAGTGTGTGACTGCGTGACGTCCGTGCGGTATTAGCTCTGCGTAGCTAGCTAGCTAGTCTACCACCGACGAAAGCTACCGCCGAACGAGTTGACGAAAGTTGATGCCGTGCTCTCCCAGCACGATTTGTGTCCTATGCCAAGTGAGACTATTTTTCCGCTGCTCATGCAAGACAACAGTCATCGCGAAACTATCATAGCTAGTTAGGTCGTCAGCGGCTCCAGCTACATCCCATCCTGCGTCTTGTGTTCAAAGACTATCTCTTCCATTGACGGGGTTTGTCACCAGCTAACAGTAGCTTTCACGTGAATGTTCTAATGTTATTCAACCTATTGATAGCCTATTTTGCACACACATAGTACTTGTTCACAGGAGGCGGGCTTTTTAGTGTTGTGGTGAGTTTTGTGTATACTTGCAGGAGACGGCGATGCAGTGGTACAGAGGTCTAGTTGCCTGTGCTACTATTGCGACTCTGGCTCTCATTTTGTTCGCAACCATTAATCTCCACGCCATAACTACAACTTTGACTAGTGGCAGAGAATACCCATGTCCAAACTGCGGCGATTCATCTCAAGAATCTCAAAGCAGAGTTCTCTTCTCAGCCAAAGAAAAATCCAGCAACAAATCTCCTCCAGAAAAGTGCCCTGAATTTCATAACCAATACTGCAGTTCTGACCGAAATGAACCGCAGCAGTGCCCCACAACCAGTTACCCAGCATTCAGAAGGAATAGAAGCCACTCAGGATTGTGCACAGAAGAATTGTCTTGAGTACTTATCCGACAGTGAGAAACGTAGTGTGAGTGCATGTGCGAGACGCGTCAGGACCAAAGATCACTACAAGGGGCCGATACGCCAGAATGAATGCAAGTTCCTACCTAGCAGTGGTCGTGGTCCTGGTCCTGTCGCATTGGTCAGTGCGCGAGGCTCTGGAAATACGTGGACCAGGGGACTACTTGAGAAGGCCACTGGCATTTGTACGGGGTTCATATCCTGTGACACGGCCATGAGAGCCCATGGATACGTTGGAGAGAACGTCAAGAGCGGGAAAGTGCTTGTGGTCAAGACACACTCAGTTGTACCAAAGTGGCAGGGAGAGAAAAATTCTCACGCGAAACCCGACGACGCCAGGTACACATCGGCCGTCTTGATTCTCCGCAACCCTGCCGAATCTGCAATTGCAGAGTGGAACAGGAGATCAGCCGAGAAGGTTCTTGGAAAACACAATTTCTCTATAGCACGAGAAAGACACACATACACCATTCCAAAGGAGTTCTTTGGTAAGCCATTGTGTGTTTAAAATGCTGCTCAATGCTTTATGTTGCAGAGGGGAAGGGATGGGATAGTTTCTTGCACAAGTACATGAGGGACTGGAGCACTCGCTTGCATCAGTGGGTGATAAACCAGGACAATCACCCAGTTCACATCTTGCACTATGAAGATCTCAAACAGGACACTGTGGGGGAAATTGCAAAAACCCTCCATTTTTTGAACGTGTCGTACGATTCAGATATACTGCGAAGCAAACTAAGTGTGGACTACTCTGAGTTCCAGCGACCACATGACAGCGAAGATTTTGAACATTATTCCCTTGAGCAGAAGGAATTTCTTAGGTCAGTGCTGCTGGAAGCGAAAGAGGCTGCAGAGAGAGCAAGCAAAGCCAATCTTCTCCAACTGGACAAATATATATGCCTTCTCTCTAGTACTTTTACTCTTACACAAACTAAGGTTGTGTTTTTTTGAAATTGGCTATCTGCGAGCGTGGTCCCAGCTATGAGAGAATAAAAATTCCGCATTGCCTCCAACTAAACTTTGTGCAAAATTAATTGCCATAGTTTGTGTATAATTTGTGCACCCTCACGCCCTTATTGTTGTCACACCTTCGCCTCCGTACTACTCTATGGTTTCTGTGTCACTTGCAAGGGCACCTAAGTTATGGAGGTAATAGGGGAAGGCAAGGTGTTATATACTGTTAGAGCGGAACAGTATGTGTTTATGCACTACACATACAAGCACAAGAGTAAGACAGTGGATGCCCAGCCTTGAGAACTGGTTAAAGATCTTTGATGGCTAGCCAACTCTCCCCACACATCCAATGTCACAGACTCTCATGCAAATCTACAGCTTACAGTACTGCATTGATAGTTACAATGAAAAGCACTGAAGTGCAAACCCTCGGCGCATTGTGACGCGCACGCGTGAGTAAACGCATGTGCTGTATCACTAATCGATGGGCTGGGTCTAGTTTTAGCTGTTACTCGTGGTCTCTTGCCAGCTCGCGCAGAGTCTGACGCGGGCTAACTACACTACTAGATAGCATGCGAGAGGCGATACACGCCCTGCGTTGCATCTTCTGGTGCCTCCGAGGTACGCAGAGCACGCGGATCGATCAGACCGCGTAAGCCGTTGCGTTTTGCATATTGGCTTTTTCGCGCTCTAGCTCTGCAACGGAGCATTTTCAGAGAAAACCCCACATATTTTCTGACCTTCGTCGCCCGTTGGGTAGATGGTATCGTTTCTGGGACGAACAGACATTCGAGAGGTGAGATGTAGAGTAACAGACAGACACTACACACAGACAGACCCGGTACCCAAGTACTGTAACCCTCGCAGCGCATGCGCGCCGAGGGTTAATGACGAGGCTCTGGACTTGCTATGGTTCTACTAATGCACAGTGGGGTATTTATAGGGAGTTGTGATGTTATAGGTATGGAATTTCTTAATGGGGAAGTGGGCTTGTTACTCTAGGGTCTTGGGTGATGTATTTTACTCTAGTGATATATACTCACAAGTGTAAAAATCTGGGTGTGTGCAGTGTGTGTCGTCCGTCCATCAGTCTGTCCACCGTTTTTCTCAGTAACCGCGGCAACTCTGAGCGTGAAACGTGGACATATTTTCAAGTAGGAGGCATGCATGGTAAAATAAGATTCTGGAGCAGAGAAGGCCGGGGAAGCTGGTGGCCGAGGTGAGTGTGCGTCAAATAGAGATAGATGTACTTCGATGCTAGATGCTTTGCGCGTGTGGAGAAGATTTGCTGGTCTGCCTCCTGTATTGATGGTACAGTTGAGTAGGATCAAGATTGCCGGTGAAGTGGGAGCAGCACACGCCGCAGTGAATCCGTTCAGTGAAGGAGTCACTCATAATACCTACCAACCATCCAGCTCAGTTTTTGCTTGATAATCAAGCAAAAGTAAGCCTATCCCACATCACCAAATCCCTCTTTTTGTGCTAACTTGTGATGCATTATGCCCATACATTGTGAATGGACATGCAGCATTTTCAAGCAAAAATGAAATAGAAATGCTTTTTTCACTTTGCTGTAGTAGTAACTAGTATTGAACGCGCATGTGCAAAAATACTGAGGTAGTAGCTAGTAGCCATTAGCTGCTGAAATAAAGTGGCGAGGGTTATGCACTTTCAAGTGCTTTTCATCTCTCTGTCTATCTGTTACTGCCAACCAGCCAGCCCAAAAGTGATACTAATGCTACACTGGGGGCTTGTGCGGTGAACTCTAGAACTATCCATGTATGTGTGTATGTGGGTCATTAGCTCAAGGTCGTGTTATTGTTATTGCTAAGGTCACGTTATAGTATTGTATTACTTTTACATTAAGATGTAGCGTGCGTTTTTCTGTTCTGTAAAACCGGTCTGTCTGGTGACAGTCAAGTTAGTCGAGTCATGATCATTGTGTGTGTGTAGAGCTGGTGACTAACCGCTAGGCTGGTGCCTCTCTTTCTGTCTACTACGTACGCTACTGTAATGTGGTAATTGAGCAAAAGTCAGCGTTGGCCTGCGTGTGTCGAGTGTGTCGAGGCGGCGGCGTGACAGCTTGATTTTAACCTTTTGCTAAAAGACCACGTGTACGTATGAGTGGGGAGGAGGGATTTTTTTTCTGGACTAGCAGCATACTGAAAAGTGTAGAATGCAGATGCAGTCAACATTTTCCTGTTCTACAGAATGTATAATACTGTTTGCAGTTGAAAAAACACTCTTGAGTAAACAACTATTATAGTTAAAAACATGTTTGTCCGTTATGCAATACTACAGAATCCATTGTGTACTACTGTGTCACAAGGGGGGTGTTTACAGACAACTCCGTGTTCTTAATCTTCCGAGTGATGCATTCAAAAACAGAGCCCATCCTGATCTTTGCCTTCTTTCCAAGTGTCCATACAATGGAACAAATGGCGTACAAAAGTGGCAAGAGGGCACTCAGAATTATTAACCCCATGCAGACCGTTGCATGTTCTGGGTCATCAGCATAGGCAATGAAGAAAGCCGTGTCTCCCAGCATGGCGGCAGAGATTGATACTAGCAAGAAAGTATCGAGGGTGTTGTACAAAGGAGACTTGTACGGTTGAATCAGTGCAACAAGTAGAATAGTCAGGATGAGAACAAAGGCAATTAATGGATAACAAAGTATGCTCTTGGTCCAAACAATGATTAGAAAAATTGTCATTCTTGAAATTTGGTAGACGACTGCAAAGTATCGGCAGTTGCGAGTACCGTTAGTTCCGTCCTTGTAGCACGAGAGAATATTGTCCATCAGGGGGTAAAGAGCATTCCGCACAGAGCGGGGGAAATATTGAATTAACCACTGAGATCTAGGAAAGGAGGTAAATGAGCAGCAAGGCAATTGGCAGAAGGTTGAAGACATCAGCAGAAATAGTCCGAGAAGGGCAAAAGGGAGATGACGTTACCAAAGTACACTGCATCCCCTTGGCGAGTAAGGGTGCAGGGTCGGCTTACTCTCACCGTCTTTCCAAACTGTACTTGCTGCCAGTAGGTCAGTGATTGTAGAAAACATCTTAACAAATGAGAGACTAAAGAAGGTCCCAAACGCATCGATCAGAGACGTTCGAATGTTGAGTTGCCGCCTGAAACGTAAACAGCATCTGTGGAACGGGATCAAAAACCGGTGCTCGTCATGGCTGTGCATAACATAAAGTACAAAAATAGTCACAAGTGGATAAGCCGCAATGGCCAAATCAAGAGCTATGACATGGAGTGTTGTCAAACTCTCATGAAGACAAACGGCTCATAGACGAGCGGAAAAAAGTCCAAGTTCAGATTCCATAGGCTGTACCGAGGATTTTGTAACTATATGGATCAGTGTGGCCAAGTTCATCCATTCTTGTCAAAATACGCATGTTGTTTGAGCAGGAAAGTGTCTGACACACGAATATAAACCCGTGCATTGGTGCTGAATTTGAACTGATGGTGAAGACAACAATCACCACCATAAACAGGGTTAGTGGACCATAGGCAAACAGTAGGTAGTAGAACAACCGTGACAAGAAGCCTGTACGGGGGCACTCGATGCAGCGAAGGGAGAATGAGTACAGAGCAGGTCCATGGTCAGAGATGCACTCACCGCAAAGAGTGCCACGTCGGTTGTATGGGGCACACTGTGACTCATTGCAACTCCCGTAAAGAGCCAATGTCCCGTATTCACTGTACTTGTCAGTGATGAAACAGCCCTCGATGCACTTCCCCAATGAAAAGTTGACACCAGCTGTGGAGTGCGTAGCACTGTTCTCTGTTGCAGTAAGACAGTAGCAACGCAGTACACTTGCTTCACAATTGCTGTTGTAGCGGATGATACTTCCAGAGTGAGTGTACTTTGGAAGATTCCACTGCGGAAGAATGCAGCTCTCATTACCTCCTCTATCACTGGCTCCTGTGTCTCCTTGGGCATTAACTACCTGCACAAAGGCTACCACCAACACTAAAGCAGTGGTTAGAAACATAGCTGGCAAACTGGGACGCATAGCCAACTACAACTGTAATCCGGTTGCATTGGCTTGGGAGCAATGTAGTTGACAAAAACAACAGAACAGTGAAAATGACATTGAGTGCATTCAAAACCCACATACCACACTAGCTACTGCCATTGTGTCCTTTGAGTCGGAGCGGAGAAAATTGTTAACCTTAATTTGACTGTGCAGTGATTGTGCCAAGAAAATTCATGGTCAGCTTTTCGGACAGGCACAAGTTCACAATCGGGAACTTTGCGTCTTGTTTCCTTGCAGAACACTGTAGATTAGTAAGTAAACCCTAATTTCATCAATACTTGGACATTATGTCACAAAAACAAAAACGGAAGTGCACAATTGCACATCTGGGGCCGTTGTTTTCTCTAGCTATCAGTAAGAGTCAAAACACAAGTACATTCTTCTTCCAGTTCCTCATTGTCATGAATCAACGGATGTAAACACAAGTCAGGACGTGCATATCAACTATACCTGGACAACAAATACGCTAGGGTACCCACCCCTGTAACAACTCCGTTAACACATTGGACATAATCCCTCTTCCCATTTACATCACTTTTTTTTAACACGCTCACTCCAACCACTCTCTATGGGAGGACTTGAAATCAATTTAGTAGGAAAGGTAAAAGTATGGGTGAGAATTCAATATTGTTCATGTCTAGTTATTGAAGGTCTGTGCAGCCACGAGATCGTAGTATGCTCCTCTCTGAGTCATGAGTTGCTCATGAGTACCAGACTCCACCACTTGGCCTTTCTGTACGACGGCAATGCAGTTGGCATCTCGGACAGTGGAGAGACGATGGGCCACCATGATGGTGGTGCGACCGACCCGAGCTCTCTTCAGTGTCTGCTGGACCGCCTGCTCACTCTCTGCATCCAGAGACGACGTGGCCTCGTCCAGAAGTAGGAGTTTGGGGTTCCGCACGAGAGCTCTGGCAATGGCTATCCTCTGCTTCTGACCACCACTCAGAAATGTCCCTCCTCCTCCCACATTCGTATTGTAACCCTGCATTGGATTGGTGGGGCATACGTCATTATTAAAGTGTGTAGCTAACAAGGCGGTAGCTAAAGAATCTGCCATTGCACTATAATAATATAGAGCAACATGCTTTCTTAATCACCATAGTGGAATGAAAGAATAGCGTATGGTTGATATTATGCTCCTATTAATGGCGAATCATAACCTGAGGGAGAGACAATATGAAGTCATGGATTTTGCAAGCTTTAGCCACTTCCACAACCTCTTCATCATTGACATCTCTAGTCAGATCACCGTATGTGATGTTGTCAGATATACTAGCATCAAATAGCACTGGCTCCTGCTGAACGTAGCCAATCTGAGAACGCAGCCACTTCAGATTGAGACCAGCTATATCCTTTCCGTCAAGGGTGATAATCCCAACAGTTGGAGAGTAGAACCTCTCAATTAGTGAGACAAGAGTGCTCTTGCCACTGCCACTGGAGCCGACAACAGCCAGGGTCTCTCCAGGGGACACCGAGACACTGAGACCACGTAGCACTCTGACCTCGGGACGACTTGGGTAGTGGAAGTACAGACTACTTCCTGACACATGACCAAACACAGCTTCCTGAAGTAAACGTATGCTATTTTATCGTTCAATCACGGGATATAATCAATTATTATACCTTGTTAGTTCCAGTCGTATTAAGCCCTTCCTCTGATTCTTTGATTATACCTAATATTCTATCACCTGCTTCATACGCATCAGAAGACTGAGGTACTTGGTTCAGGGCATAGGTTACATTTCGAGCTGTTATCATCACAGTCGAGATGACTCTGAAACGCGATAAGGAGAGGATGATGATTATGCATTGGGCCCCATGGGTATCTGCTTAAATAAGCAGAAATTGATGTATAAAGTATTAGCGCCAAGTAACCCCCATATATATTCTTATGGAGGCTTTGGAGACATTTATGTGTCCGTGGCTGGTTAACTGTTAAAGGTAGTCTTTACCTGAACACTTCAAGAATTCCAATATTCCCATTTGTGACTAGAAAAGCGGCCAGTCTCCAGCCTGCAGCATACACCAGTGAAGTCATCCCCAGCATTAAAGCGACCGTAAATGCTTGAAAAACCGACTTTCTGATATTCTGCCTGTATAATTATAGGATGGATATCAATGAGTGGTTAATAGCTTTGCGTATAAAGAGAAGTTTACGCACAGCATGTGGGAATGTAGATAGAGGCTGATGGATTCAACAAAGTAGTCCCTTGCCTCAAGAGAAACAACTGTCTTGATGTTGGAGACAGTCTCAGTCACTAGATGTGTCGAGACTTCAAGACAGTCACCGTCCCCAGAGCCGCTACTGTAGAGGAGCTTGTGACCAAGACGGTGGGAGAGGAATATAAGAGGAAATGCTGGAACGACGACAAGTGACAGTTCCCACGAGCTGACAAAGCACACAAACAGTGTTATAAGTATCGAGGTTGCTGCAAGAACAATCGCCCCCAGCTGTATACCCAGTTCCCTATTGTTAGAAGAAGGGCAAGGTCACGATTATGCTTTAAAAATCGACTCACGTTTTTGACTTTGTCGGCATCATTGGAGAGAATGGTAGTCAGTGATCCTGTGGTGTGCACCTCGTCATCATGCCAGCCAACAGATTGGTACAACATGGCCTGGAAGAGTTGGACCCTCAGGCGACTGGTCAGTCTCTCTCCACTCACTGTCACCACAAATGTCTGTTGCAAGTAGACAGGCAGTTAAATCTTTTGTTGTAGCTATCACACAAAAGCTATATAGCTATAAACATTTTACCCCTAAGAAGTAGAAAATTCCTGCTGCAGCTGCCAGTCCAATGAAACCAATGGAGATATATCTTGATACCTCTGAAATTAGGTCTCGGTCACTTTCACTGAAAACCTATAATATTGTGGATATCTGACAGTTTACAGTGGGCAAGTTGAGCACATACAGCATTGACATCAGCCATTATAGCACCAATGGCGGGGTATGTCCCTCCAATCAGAGCATGCAGTAGAACACCAATGATGACAACGCACAGGTCTGGTTTAATGAACCTCCAGAGGTGGTTTAGTCTGGTGTACCTATGACGTATCATATTTTCGGTTGAGTCCTCATGGGCAGGTTTCTGTAAGATGGCAAAGAGGAACTACAATTATTGGTCACCTTCTTTCTATGTAAATTCTAACCTTCTGATTGGCTGCAATAATATAGTTAAGCCAGCCAGAGTGATTGGAACTATTGAAATTTCTAAGTTGCTTCATCTGTTTTCTTCTCTTTCCAATTGACACCAGCGATAGTGTTGCTCGTTTTAGTGAACGTCCCTTGGGCTCAGTAGATTCTTCACCTGTGGGGTTTAAAAAATATATCTTTAGTCTCGTATAGGATATATTTTCTGAAGCTGGCCAGTAATATTTACCATTGGTTGCTGCTCTTATTTGAGTACCAACCAGCTCTGAATACAAGCCTTTCTTCATCAAGAGCTCCTCATGAGTACCGGCTTCATGGACCTGTCCTGAATTTATACACACTATCATGTCGGCGCTCTGGACCGTGGACAGTCGATGAGCGACAACTATAGTAGTGCGGCCTTCACTGGCCTTCTCCAGTGCACTCTGAACCAGTCTCTCACTCTGGTTGTCCAGGGCAGAGGTGGCTTCGTCCAGTAGGAGGATCTTTGGGTTTCGAAGTAGAGCACGAGCAATCGCTACGCGTTGCTTCTGGCCTCCACTCAGCTGAATCCCACCCTCTCCAACGTATGTATCATATCCATCAGGGAGCTCAATGATGAAGGAGTGGGCATTAGCACTGGTAGTAGCTGCTTCCAACTCCTCCTGTGTGGCCTGGGAATTAGCTAAGAGGATGTTCTCTCTCACAGTTGTATTGAATAGTATCGGTTCTTGAGGTACAACAGCAACGTTCTGATGGACCCAAGCTGGGTCTAACCCCTGTATTTTAATCCCATCAATTGTAATCTGATGCAAGAGATAAAGAAATTACATAATCAGATGGAGGTTGACTTGGTTTGTGGCCTTGATAGCTACTCTGGCTACAATCAAGGTTCTGAATTACCTGTCCAGAGGTTGGGCTATACAGCTGTTGTATAAGTTGGAGAATGGTGCTCTTTCCATTGCCACTAGGTCCTACAATGGCCACTCTTTGACCCGGTTCAATATCAAGACTCAACCCTTTCAGAATCTGCATGAAAATCCACACACAATTGCACAGGGTGGAATAATATGCCAATGGCTGTTATTACCTCAACATGAGGCCGAGCTGGATATGAGAAAAACACTCCTGAGAACTGGACTCTGCCCTTGCAAGTCTGAGGCCTGCACCGCACTGGTTGTTTCTTGGGGACCTTTGGTTGAAACAGAAGCCTTCAACAAGTTGTGGTGTATAATAGAGTGATTAAGATATACCTCGTCAATCATGGAAAACACAGAGACAGCAGAGATAGAGGCTGAGATGAAAACTCCCAGCTGTGGTAGTGCTGCTGCCAGGGCAAAAGCTCCAAACAGAATAAGGGTCAATATCTACAATTTAATAACAACACATCCTTCACCAATATAATCATTATGCTAGGAGAGTAGTATGTGCAGATTTTCCCACAAGTGTTATTGTTTAGCTTACTGTTATTGAATCACCGCCCTCTAGTTCACAGTTCACCAGAAGTTCGCTCCCGTACCTTAAAAATAAATAATAATAATAAGTGAGTTTATTGTGACTGAAATTAATAATTGTTGTACCAGAATGAAATTCCTATCATAACTGTTCCAAAGAAGAAAGCACACCCAATTAGAACACTCGTGATTAGTGATCCTCTTATAGCCTTGATTTCAGCGTCCTTGACATGATCTCTATACCTACATTCAGAAAGAAGTAAAAACTCTGTCTATACATTTCTTTCAGACAGAGAGGTATATAATGGTTGGTTACCTTGTCCTTTCTTTCTCTTCTCCACCGAACGCAAGAACTGTTCTGATTGAAGACAGGACTTCGGTGGCCACAGAAGAAGCTTTCAAGTATGTAGCTTCAGTTTTGGCTCTGGTCTTTTTTGTTGCCTAGTTTTAATATAATAATGGGTGGATATACAACAAACTGACGCTGTGTGGTATTTTGATTTGGTATATTATGGTCTACAGCTCATTTGAAAATTTGTTGGTTAGCAGAAATGTTTTCAGAAAAGAGAAAAGGGAAGTATGAGAATTGCTATAGGGAGACAAAACAACCGTCCTCAGCGCAAGGTTATAGATCTTGATAATTATGGCTAAATGACCCTTCATCTGTGTCAGAGCATTCTTAAAAATTGGTAATTCATTTGTGCTATTAACATTGTTATTTTTCTGTCATACCAATATATTGAGTCCTCCGAGGGTGGACACAATGGGGAGTAACACGAGCAAAACTAATGCCAGTTTCCAGTTGATGAAGAATGCCCACACAATTCCAAACAAGAATGTGGTTATATCTTTAATAACATTTCCAGCTTGGATTCCAATCCCTGCCTGGATATTTTCAATGCTCCTGCAGACGAAGAACAAGAGGTTTAACGAGCAGGGGCTGTGAAATGGACATACTTGAGGAAGTCTGGTCCTAGTGTAGACACGTCATTTGTCTCGAACCAGCTAATGCTGTGATGAAGAACTGCTTTGTAGTATGCTATCCTTAGCCGTTTGCTCTGTCTTAGAGCACTGATGTTCCAGAGTGTACTAGTTAAAAACATGAACACGAATGTCCCGATACCCAAATACACAAAGTACAGAGAGAAAACAGTGGCCTCCTCTGTCAGAGTAGTGTCTGGATCACAGGCAAATCTTGAGGCACTGCTGATGACATTTCCCTCTCTAGTGGCATCACAGAATATCTCATCACTGCTGTTAGCTAAACCGTTCAAAATTTGCTGCGCTGTGTTTGTAGTACAGGTGTTATTGCCGTTAATAGAGACCAAAACTTGGTGCAGCTGGTCAGCCGTGTTGTACGAAATAAAGATATTGAAGAGTCGGCCCATTAGTATGGCTTCCACTGGAACTATAGTTCCACTTATCACAGAAAAGAGAATGGCCATGGATATCATGACCGCATCAATGAAATCCGCATTACTGAACTGTATCAAAAAACAACAACCAAATGTGGGAAATCCAATATCAATCATTGTCCTTATAATATCACCCCTTGTTTCAGACCAGTAGCCTACGTTCTGCGTAACTAATCCGAGCTATAGACCTCTCCCAACCCAGCAGATTTTGATTTTTCCTTTATAAATACCTGCGTCTACCATTCCGTCCCACATATTTTTCAGCTTAGCTACTGTGAGAACGAGACGTGCGAATCGCATTTTATTGTCTCGTGTTGTTAAATTAACCGGGGTATTATAACGCGAGCCGTAACGCTCTTTAGCTACGTCATTCGGGAAACTCGCGCGCGCTCGCTACCTGCCCGGGCCCGGATGTTCAAGTAACATCTACCGGCTGTCGTCCGGGATCATCTTTCGCATGCAGTAGATCCAGTTGGTCCGCTCTACAACGCGAGTAAACGTCATATGATGCGCCTGTGCAGTTGGCGGGTTGTACAAATCGGAAAATCAGCCGTGACTCGCTCCAGCTTGTATATACAGGCTCGTATAGCCACCTTTGACCAGCTTTTCCCCGTTCACCCATTCGTGGGTAGGCCGAACTGTAAGGATCTCGTCAAGTATCCGATGAACTAACACTAGCTGTGCGGAGCGCTTTCCACCAATAAAAGTGAGGGGATTATCGTGGTATTATAACTAGCTAACTGGGCGCCGCCTAGGAAAATACTGATTTGTTGTCGCGCCCCCCTCGTAATGAACCAATAGACTTCCATTGATGCGGCCATACCTAGTTCTTACGACATTGTAGGCATGATAACGTCGTGTAATACATAAGCAAAATGCTATGTGAACTACGAGTTTCCAATAAGGAACAGAAAGTATTATGTAGAAAGTAAGAGCACAGGAATACAACTGTATTAGTCTTAGACACTCTAATAATCACCTTTTAGCCATTTCAGAGAGTTTGAATCACTGATGTTGTGAAAAAGTAATGATTGCACTTCAGTTGTATCAGTCCAAGATTGGGCCATCCATTGCAGCCATGTCATTTTATGTGTTTGCTCTCAATGACGTAGCCTTTGCAGCAAGAGACTCCAATGGATTTAAGAAGAGAGGAACGCTTCCACCCACAACTGTCAAATTGCAAGTATATACCTTCCCTACTCCGAGAGGATTCCATTGGACAATATAAATGCTGCATGGTTTGGCTGACTTAGCTTACCTTCAGATTAGCAACATGTTATCCCAAAGGCAAAGTTCTAGTGAAAACTGCTTCAGTGGCAGTCCTGAAATGTCCCAGTTGGTACATCACTAATGCCAAAAGTGCAGGAGGGATGTGAATCAGGAAAGGGCAGGTATTAACATGCAGCTTCGGTATCTTTCATTCTTAGAAGGATCAAGTAATGCAGCATACTTTCACTCCTATTATGACAAGACCTTGTTTCCGTAAAGAGCCCCAATAATTATTCTTGAGGGCTAGACTTTCGAAGTGATGGTATATCCACGGTGGATTGCTGCCCTTTAAACACA